AGTAACGTGTGTTAAAGATGGTGAATGTAAATTATGATTACCCACCAATATTACTTCATTATCATTATTATCCCTTAATTCTTGGTCTATTTGTAATTTGTTTACTAAAAATGATTGGAATGAATTTAATATTGAAAAGGTTAATATCAATTCGTTTTCGTTATCTTTGCTCGAAAATGATTCAATTGAATCTTTTAATAATTTTAAATTTTCAGAAGAGGATGAACATGAGTGATATAAATAATATAATTGCTTTCCTATATATGAATCTAAAATATGATAATCTTTAAATAATTTAATTTCGCTTATATTTTTGGTTAATGATGATTCCATTGATTGTGTGCAATTTAAAAAAAAAAAAAAAAAAAGTGAAATGAAATTAAAAATTAAAAAAAATTTAAAAAAAATAAAAAAATATAAAAAATATTTTTTTTAAAAATGAAAAAAAATGGAAATATTTGGTATAAAATCACCCACCCCCATTTAATTAACCATCTCAAATTAGTGATTAACTAATAGGGTTTGGGGGTAACATAATAAAAAAATAAAAAATAAAAAAATAAAAAAATAAAAAAATAAAAAAATATATTATTTCATTGTATTTAATATTTTGTGATTGATCATGGTTGTTTAATAAACAAAAGTGAAATAATTAATTAATATAAAATGACACATATGTGTGTATAGAGTATATTATCCCCTAAACATATTTTATTTGAAAAAAACCCAAAAAAAAATTATTTTAAAAAAATTTTAAAAAAAATATTTTTTCAAAAAAAATAAAAAAAAAAAAATTAAAAAATAAATAATAAAAAAATTTAGTCTTTTTTCATATAATTAAATATTGTTTGTTGTTATTATTATTATTTTTAAAAAATAAAACCACATTGTGTTATATAGAAATAATTTTTAATAGAATAAATTCATAAAATCCTTGTTTTTTTTTTTTTTTATTTTTTTTTTTATTAATAATCATATTTTACCTAAAAAAAGTTCTATATCTTTATTTATTATTTTATATCTTTTATAAACAAGAATTGTCATATTCTTTTTTTTTTTTAGATTTCATAAACCAAAAGCAACATTAATATAATAAATATTTTTTGTATACAAATATTATTATAAAATCATTTAAAACTCACACTCAAAAAACTCACCACATTATTTTATTTTTTTTTTTTAATTAAAATTTTTTTTTTTTTTAATTTTAAAATAAAAATTTTATTTTTTTATTTTTTTTTTATATATTTTAATTTTAATTTATCTAAATAGATAAATTTATTAATAATTGTATTTATTTATTTATCTATTTATTGTATTTATTTATTTATTAAACTTTTGTTGTATTTTTATTATAAAGAATAAAAAGATGGCTACGCCAGTATCATTAAATCAAGTTGAAAAAAGTAAATATCTATTAATCTAAAGATATAATAATTTTATAAAATACTAATATCTTTAATTTTTAAAAAAATAGAAACTATAGAGTCTATTTTAACAAATAAAAGAGAAGAGGGTAAACTAATTACCAAAGTTTCAATTTTAAATGAAAAAAAGAAAAAAACAGAGATCAAAACATTAATTTTAGGAACCAATAGAATATTTTTATTTTCAGATTTAAAAGGAAAAGTAAGATTAATTAAAGAATGAAAATATTATTTATTGCAATGAATAAATATTAATGTTTTTTTTTTAATAATCTTAAATTAGTTATCTGCAGAATATCACTATTTAGATGTTAATGTTATCGAAAGTAGTTCAGAGAACGATGTAACAATTAAATTTAGAAATCAAACTATATTTAAAATGAGCAACTTAGATGCTGGTGAAATTTTAAAAACAATGTATATTACTTTGATATCAACTTTTCCAGGTATTAAATTAGGCAAAACTGTACTTCTCCAAGTTACACCAGAAAGCAGATTACCATCAATCTTTGCTGCAGCATCTGCCTCGTCATTTAACAACTCACAGTGCGGATCATTTAGCTTAACATATAGATCAGTTTGTGATTATTTAGGATTACAACCATTATCATCAGTACTTTGGGATATAGAAAACCTTTATCAAGCCAATCAAGTTAAAGATTTTAATTTAGCTGAAATCTATCAATTCACCCCAAATGACCTAAAAGCCTTATTATTGTCCCTTTCCTACAACACATATTTTCAATCATTCATTTCAAACTATAAACTATTAAACGAAGATCTCATACAATTGGCTGAAGTTTTTAAAGAAAATACCTCACTTCAACAAATCTCAATTACAAACTCTCAATGTTCAAAAGAACCATTTATATCATTATTAACAAACATAGCCGAGAACAAAGGCTTATTTGTTAGTTCAATAAATTTATCAAATAATCAATTAGAGGTAATATTTTTTTATACATTTAAACTAAATTTTTAATAAATATTATTTTTATACTAATTCTTTTTAATTTATATATATATTTAGAATAAAGGTATATTAACATTGGGATCTAGTATTCAAACATTTTCAAAAAATTTAAATTATTTAAATATTGAAAACACATCATGCTCTGGTAAAGGAATTGAAGCATTTTTTGGATGTTTAGCAGCAAACTCTGTAATTTGTTCATCTCTCAGCTATTTAAACATAAATAATAATAAATTAGAATCCTATGGTACCAATGGTTTATGTAAATTTTTATCAAAAGCCAAGGCATTACAACAATTACATATGAGCAACACATCACCAGTATACAGTCTTTTAAAAATGTCATCACCAGCAATTTTACAATTAGATTTTAGTGGAAACAGACCAACAACATCAAAAGAAACCGTTATGGATATACTCGCATTCTTTAAACAAATGCCATCATTACAAACTGTAAATTTAGCAAGAATTCAACCATCTACCGATGAATTAAAATTATTATTTAGTCCTGCTACCAATTTAATCAAGTGTCAAAATGTTGATTTATCCGAAAATGAATTGGGTGATAACGGTATCACTAAACTCTGTGAAATTATGTATCCAAATTCAAATATTCGTCATCTAGCAATCGATGGTAACTTTAAGAGCCGTTCTAAACTAAGAGGCAGAGCTATAGAGGCAATAATTAATTTGATCGAAGATAACAACTCTATTGAAAGTCTTTCCATCTCGACCGGTAACACTAAATATCAACTAAAGGGTGACTTGATGCCATTATTATTATCGCTACTTAAAAATCAATCATTAATTAAATTGGATATCAGTGGCAATGGTGTAGGCGATAGTGGTGCCTTAGCAATCTCAAAAATACTTTGGAAGAATCAAACCTTAAAAAGTCTAAAATGTGAAGGAAATGACTTTTCATATACTGCATTGAAAATGATCAAAAACTCTATCAAGAGAAATGAAAAATCACTTACTTTCTTCCCATTACCAATTACCGATATCGCTGCAATCCTCAAGAATGATGGTGGTAGCAGCATTGTACAAGACAAAGTCATTAAAACCATTCAAGATTTACAATGTTCAATTGTTAATAACTATCCAAACAATATCTCGAGTGATGCCTCAAGCAACGAGTCACCAAACTCTGGCTCTGCACCTGCTACAAAACCACCAAGCCAAGGTTCTATTAAAAAACCACCAACTGGACCACCAACCACCAAACCTTCAAGCACCACAAATATCACTAATGGCTACACCACATTACCAATTAAAAGACCTGGTACCAGAGGTCCTTTATATCCTGGTCGTGTTATAAACTCTAGTGCATCAGGTGAGAAATCAGCATCTGCAGCCTCTCAAGTCGAAATTCCACCATTAGTATCTCGTTCAATAGATTTATTAATTGATGAAGGTACAAATTCCGTTGGTATCTTTAGAACATGTGCTTCTGCTACAGCATTAAAGAAAATTAAATCAAGATTTGAGGCCGGTGAAGATATAGATTTGAAAGCAGAGAATGTTGATGTAGATACTGTAGCTGGTGTACTTAAAAGTTATTTCAGAGAAATGGCCTCACCAATTTTCCCTGAAAATATACACGAATCCTTTTTCCAAGCCTCAAGACAATCAACCATCGAAGATAAAATATTGGCATATCATGATATCGTTGAAAAGATGCCACCATTAGAGTCCAAAATGATAAAGAAACTTTTCCATCTCCTCCACTTAATTTCCTTAGAAAAAGATGTAAATATGATGTCACCAGAAAACATTGCAATTTGTTGGGCTCCAACTTTATTTAGATCATTTGCATCAGAACTTTTACCAATTAACTCATTTATGATCGTATTTTACTTTGATATATTTGACCCAGAAAACAAACCAATTTCACCAGAAAGCAAAGCTGAAAATGGTTCACCACCAATCAATGGTGCCAATACCAATATTAACAACTCATTAGCCTCACCATTGTCACCAGTAACCTCACCCACAAAGGATGGCTCTCCAACCCCAACCACACCAAGTAAATCACATACTATTGGTCCATTAAGAAGACCATTATCCTCAAGCACTGGCATGTCATTGATTGATAAAGAACCATCAGCACAACAACATAATACAATGCCATCCTCAACAAAACCACCCTCAACTGGTGTCACTAGAAAAGGCAGTAGCGGGTTACCACCACTTCCAACCTCTTTATCAGCAACCAATACAAATAGCAATACCTCTTCTTCATCATCAGGTGCATCATCACTAAGAAGCTCCAATGGAATAAACACATCACCAAACTCATCACCAACACCAACACCCCCAGACTCACCAAGCTTCTCACGTATTGATGGTAATGCTACTTTAAGATCCAAAAGATTTAGTCGTGTTAATAGAGGATCCTACTCTCCTGGTTTATCAAGAGCTTCAAGATCTATTTCATCATTATTCCAAGACTCTGATCTTGCAAACAATGATACAAGTAGTAATATAAGTGAAACAAATAGTAACATTTCAAACTAAAATAATTTAAAAAATAGTAATAAAAAAAATATATATCTAAAGATTTAGATAATAAAATATTATTTATTTATTTTTATTGTAATCATAGTTATAATTATTTTATTTTTTTGCTTTTTTTTTTTATTTATTTATTTTTTTATTTTTTAATTTTTTTTTAAATTTTTTTTTGGTTGTCGTAAAAAAAAAAAAAAAAGTTTTTTCATTTTTTTTTCGTTTCAACCAAAAGCATAATTTTATTATCACCATATAATTCATAATATTAAAATATGCAAAGAGGATTTGTAGCTGGTGTTAAATTTGCATCTAAATGCAGTTCAAATTCATTCAGAGTAGCAACTGCAGCTGCTCCAAAAAATAGTGTACATAATAATTTTAAATCTGCTTCATGTAATATAAATTCACAACAATCTTCAAATATACCAGCTTCATTTTCAACTACATCATCATCATTAGCACCACCAAATAGAAATAGCAATACAGTTAGAGGGTAAAAGTCAAATAATAGAATGTGGTGCATAAGCATTGCATCATAGTTTTGGAAAAATAAAATAAATAAAAAAAGATTTAAATATTTTTTTTTTTTCCTTTTTTTTTTTTAAATCTTCCTCATTTCGATCATTGTATTAATACAGATTCAATTTTATTTAATATAGTACTTCAATTTTATCAAGTTTCAAGCATAACAGTTTCCTCATTATATCAGATGGTAATATTTTTAACCTTTATTTTTCATTAAATAAAAACCCATATTAATTTCTCTTATTAAATTTTTTAAAAATATACTACAATGACATTTTATTTTTAAATACTTTTTTATATAGATGATGATGGTATGTGATTTTGCCTATTAAATAATTATAAAAAAAATAAATAGTTTCAATTGTAATAATTCAAATTATTATTTATTTGTTTTTTTTTTTTTTTTTATTTTCATTTGTTAATTCATATGTTTTAATGGTTTTTTTTTTTGTATTGTTAATTCATTTTTTATTAAAATTATATATTTATATTGATAAAGGTTCTTAATTAAATAATATATAAAAAAAAAAATAAAAAAAATAAAAATAAATATAATATAGGTTCATAACATCAAGCAGATTTAATTTATATAAAAATGGAAAGTAATCAACAACTTTAACTTCAACATCAATATCAAAAACAACTTTTAAAAAAAATAATCAAAAACGACAAAATTCAACCCTTCAATTCTTTTTTTCTCAAACACATCCACCCGAAACTCCAACCCACTCAAAACTTTACGAAATTCAACATCATTAATAGACACCCAAACAAAACAAACAAATAAAATTTTATTGTATTTATTTCTTTAAAAAATTAATAAAACAAAAACATAAAAAAAAAAAAAAAAAAAGCCAACTATTTTTTCCTTTTTTATTTTTTTAAAAATTATTAAAAATTTTTATTTTAAAATTTTAATAATTTGTTTAGTGTGTGTGTGATTGGAAAATAGTGTTTAATCATTAAACCATTTTTTTAAAATAGAAATATCGAACCAAGATCTTTATTTTTTATTATAGATGACATGTCCGGAATATTTTTTTAGTTTCATATTTTTGATTATATAAATAAATATTCATTGATGTGACATAAAGAAGAAAACTCTGTGGCACAATAGCCCAGAATTCTTTTAAGAAATATCTTTACCTTTTTTTTTATTTTTTTTCAATTTTTTTTTTTTAATTTTTTTTTTTTTTAATTTTTTTTTAAAATTTTTTAAAAAAGATTATTATTTTTTTTATTTTTTTTTTTTATTAACTATTTCGTTATAAAAGTTTTATTTTTTTATTTTTTATTTTTATTGTTTCTTTTTTTTTCACCCTAAATTTTTAGAAAAAGAAAAGATTTCATTATATTTATTTGTGTATATATAATTATAGTTTTTTTTTCTTAAATTGTATTATATATATTATATTTATATCATTTTTCTTTTAAAAAGAGAAAAAAACAGCACACAAAAACCCCACACAATATAATTTATTTTGTTATTTTTTTTTAAAAAAATCTTAATAAATTTTTTTTATTTTTTTGTGTTATTTTTTTATAATATATATATAAATAAATAGATAAATAAAATACCAATCAATCTTAAACTCTTTAAAATTTTCAATTTTATAGAGCTTTTTTCATTTTGGTTACATTAAAATTTATATAAATTATGAATTTTTCTGAAGAAGAGGAATATAGTAATAGAAATACAGCTAGTTCACAAAAACTTGGATCATTATTTAAAGATAGCAACGCAATGTCTGGAAATCAATCATTAACCTATACCAATAACAAAACCCAAACTACCAGCAATCCAAATCAATCCGAAGTTTATATTTCTTATCCAATTCATTTATTTAAATTGTAAGTACTTACTTTTTTAAAGTTATGTTTCAATTTCTATTGTATAAAATATTAATATTGCTGCTTAAATTTTTTTATCATATAGTGATAATAATAAATCAGAATATGCACCAGTTGGCCCAGCAGCCACAGCAGTTTGTGGATCAAAACAAACAGGAAAATATCAATTATTAGTTTATGACAACAATAAGAATTATTTAGTTAATGTTAGCGTTACATCACAATTCAACTATACTGTTAATAACAATTATGGTAGTTTTCAAGATGCAGCAGGCCAAAATTGGTCAATTTCATTCAATTCAGCTGAAGACAGCAATAAATTTGCTACTCAAATTGCAATTGTCAAATGCGCAAGTGGTCAATATCAAAATATTGCACACATTGATTTGGGTAGTTCAAGCAAAACTAAACCAATTGGTACTGGTGACCGTGTTTCAATAAAATATTCAGGTTGGCTCGAAAATAACAATAAAGTTGGAAGTTTATTTGATTCCAATATTTCATCAGAAGCTCAATTTCGTTTTGTAATTGGCGAAGGCAAAGTTATTAAAGGTTGGGACCTTGGTGTCGTTGGTATGAGAAAAGGTATTAAAAGAGTTTTAGTCATTCCTTCTGAATTAGGTTATGGTAAAAAGGGACACTCTTCTATTCCAGGTGGTTCCAATTTAATCTTTGAAATTGAAGTTACTGGTTCAAAGAAAAAAGAAGGTTCTGAACAACAATTACCAAGTTTAAATGGTCAACAACAAGCTTCAGCTCCACAACAACAATTACCAAACCAATTATTTGATAATTCACCAACACCACAAGTAAGTAATATTTTTAAAAAAAAAATCTAAAATTAAATTATTTTATACTAATATAACCATTTTCCTATATTTTAGGATGATAAAGCTAATTTAATTCAAAGAGTTGCTAAATTAGGTAGAGCTACTGGTTTTACTTCACCACCACCATCTGATAGTGAAAATGAAGGTTATTCAAGAAACAGTGGCAACAATAACAATAGCAGCAACAACAACAATAATAATATGAACAGCAACAATAACAACAATAGTAGTAACAATAATAACTATAATAACAATAACAATGGTAATAATAATAATAATGGTAATAATGGAAATAATGGTAATAATAATAATAATAATAATAATGGTAACAATTATAATAACAATGGTAACAATAACAATAACTATAATAATGGCAATAACTATAATAATAATAATAATAATGGTAACAATTATAATAACAATAATAATAATATGAATAATAATGGTTATAATAATAATAATAACAATTTTAACAATATGAATAATATGAACAACATGAACGGTATGAATGGTATGAACGGTATGAATGGTATGAATGGTATGATGAACAATAACTTAAATACTGGAATGAATGGTATTGCTTTTAATCCATATTCACCACAAACACCACCACAATTTAACCCAATTGGTACCTTTGGATCAGCTTATAACCAACAACAACAAGCTTTATTATCATTAACCGGTCAAGCATCACCAATTACATCAAGTGCATTGGTTCCAATTATGCCACAATCACCATCAATTATTGTTCAATCACCACCACCAGCTCCAGTTCCAGCTCCAGCCCCAGCTCCAGTCCAAGCTCCACCAACTCCAGCTCCAGTAGCTCCACAAACATCAACTGCTGAAACTGTTCAAATTTTAGTTGAAGAAAAACAATTTAAAAAAGAAATTAAATCATCCATTGAGCAATTTAGTAATAAATTAGATCAAGTCAACAACAAATTTGATGCCCTTACCCAACCAATTGTTAAGGGTGATGTTCCAATTTCAGGTGTATTATTAGTTCAAACTCTTCATAAATTAGTAGATGACAATGAAAAATTAATCAAAGAAAGCATTGAAAAAGAAGCTCGTTTAGCCACCCTCAAAGAAAATATTGCCACTCTCCACAAAAAGAATGAACAATTTTTAGAAGAAAACACTAAAATGATGGAATCACGTAATGAAGCCATCACTGATAATGTTGCTCAAATGAGAAGACAAATCATCGAACTCCAAAAACAAAAGACCCAAGTTGAAGATGAACTCTCTGATAAACAATTACAATTCACCAAATCTCAATCACAAATCTCTCAACTTAAAAGAGAATACAGTTCATTAAACGAAGAACTCAACCAACAAAGAGAAGAAGTTGCTAAATCAATTCAAGATCAAGATGCACTCAAAGCTGCTGAAAGAGATTATGCTCTCAAGATTCGTGCTTTCAAAAAGAGTTTACTCGATGAAAAGAATGCCAGAAAATCAGATACTGAAAAGATCGCTTCATTAGAAGATGAATTAAAAGATGCCCAAGATAATTTAACTGCAGCTGAAAAGAGCAATGAAGATTCAATTAAAAAATTAAAATTAGATATGGTCAGATTAAAGAAAAGAAACGACGATAAAGTTGGTCAATTAAATTTAGAGATCACCACACTCAAAGATACCTTAGAAACTGAACGTAATGCAATGTCATCTGTAACTACTATGGTCGAAAATGCTAAACTCGAAGCTGAATCTAAATTCAATTTATTGTTATTAAAGAAAGACGAAGCCATCGCCTCAATCGAGTTATCACTCAAAGATGAAAAAGATAAATACGAAAAAATTGTTAAGGCCAATCAAAAAGAAATCGAAACATTAAATGCCACAATTAATACCACCAACAAGAGATTAGAAGAAGAAAAAGAAGAAGTTATCAAATCATATAAGAAAGGTTTTGCTGAAGGTATCGAATCCACCAAAGATACTAGCGATTTGGTTGCCAAACTCCAAAAACAAATTGAAGATCTTCAAAATCAATACGACGACTCAAGAAAAACCTTGGTTGAAACTAAAGATAAATTATTTGCATTAGAATCACAACCACCAAAGACCATTATTAAAGAGGTTAAAGTTGAAGTCCCAGTTGAAGGTTCTGCTTCATCATCATCATCATCAGTAGATGTTGCTAAAGAAGTTAAAGCATGTATGCAAAAGGTTTTCGTTAAAGTATCAGAGGAATTTGAAGAAGATGAAGAGTATTCAACTGATTCAATTATGTCAGCATTTAAAGGTATTATTAAAACTGTTACAATGGAATTTTTACAAAAACCAAAAGAAGATGAGGAGGAAGAAGAGGCTGAAGAAGAAGTTGAAGAGGTTGAAGAAGAAGTTGAAGAGGCAGAGGAAGAAGAAGTTGCCCAACAAGAAGAATCATCAACTCCAATCGTTGAGGTTAAACCAGTTATTGCTGAATCAGCTCAAGATGAAGATGAAGATGACGATGATGAAGAAGAAGAAGAAGAAGAGGTTGTTTCAAAAGTTGAAGAACCAGTTAAAGTTGAAGAGCCAATCGAAGAATCAGTTAAACCAATTGAAGAACCAGTTGTTGAAACACCAGTCGAAGAATCAGTAAAACCAATTGAAGAGCCAGTCGAAGAGCCAGCTGAAGAATCAGATAAGCCATCTGAAGAACCAGTTAAACCAGTTGCTAAACCAATTACAACCGACGAAGATGACTTTGATATGGAAGATGATGATTTCGATGATATCGACGAAGAACAACTTAAGAATATCGATGCTGAAATTGAACAAATGCAAAGAGAAATTGAAAATGAAGATCTTGAAGAGGAAGAAGAAAAGGAAACTAAACCAGAACCAATTACTACCACTATTGTTGATCCACTTTCCAGTAAATCTGATAATGAAGAAGAACCAGAAGAAAAAGAAGAATCAGTTGTTGAACCACCAACTTTAGATGTTGAGGAAAAAGAATCAGTACCAGCTATCGAAGAAGAAACTAAAGTTGAGGTACCAGTTTTAGATGATGATGTCGAAGAAGATAAAGAGGAAGAAGAAGAAGAAGAAGAAGAATCAGTTGTTGAGCCACCAACTTTAGATGCTGAAGAGGAAGAAAAAGAATCAGTTCCAGCTATCGAAGAAGAGGAAACTAAAGTTGAAGCACCAGTTTTGGATGATGATGTTGAAGAAGAAAAATCAATTTCAGATTCTGAAGAAGAAACTAAAGTTGAAGCACCAGTTTTAGATAATGATATCGAAGAGGAAGTTTCAGCTCCACCACCAATTGATGTTGAAGAAGAAGAAGAAGAAGAGGAAGAACAAGAAGAAGAGAAAAAAGAACAAACAATAGTTGAACCAGTTGTCGAAGAAAAAATTGTTGTAGGTGAAGAATCATCACCATTTGCTGACGATGAACCAGTTAAAGAGGAATCAGTTGTTGAACCACCAACCATTGAATCTGAGGAAGCTGCAGTTGAAGAGGAGACCACCGAAGAGACAGTTATTGAACCACCAACCATTGAATCTGAAGAAACCTCAGCACCATCTACTCCAGCTGTTACTGTCGAAGAACCAACTGTTACTGCTACCCCAGCTACTAAACCAGACGAAGCCGAAAAGAAAACTCCAAAGAAATCATTCTTTGATTTTGAAGATGACAGTCCATTCTCTGAATCATCCACCAAAAAAGAAGAAGAGTCATCATCAGATGTTTTCAGCTCCAACACCAGTCAATCAACCTCAACCACACCAGCCAAAAAGACCGATTTCTTCTCTGATTCATTATTTGGTGATTCATCAAATGATGATATTTTTGCCAAACCATCAACTCCAAGTAAAAAATCAGACCCATTTGCCTCTGATGAATTATTCGGTGGATCATCATCATCACCATCAAAAGAAACTAAAGAATCAGCATCACTTTTTGACTCTGATTCATTATTTGGTGGTATTAGTGTTTCCAAACCAAGACAAAAACAAGATTTCACCTCCCTCTTTGGTTCTGATCCAACCGCTTCACCATTAACTCCATCTGATGATAATAAAGAAGAGGAGATTGTTTTACCACTTTAAAATTATAATAAAAATAAATAAAAAATCATTTAATAAAAATATAAATATTTAAATAAACCAAAAAAAAATTAATAATATAGTATTATTAAATTACATATAAAGAATAAAAAATATTTTAACAAATCTATTTTTAAAAATCTATTACTTTATAAATTTATTATTTTATTGCTAAATTTAATAACGAGAATATTCTTCCATATATTTAAGAGGGAATTTAAATTCAGTTGAGCCTACTTGGTGTCTTGTTAAGAACCCAGTAATTGGAATTACGTTATAGTTGAATGTTAATTTAATTGTATTATTTCTAAATATTATAAAAAAAATATTTTTTTTTAGTATATTGATCAATGTATGTTATGATTGTGATAATGTAATAATTACTTTAAACCTAAACCTTGATCGATAAGTGGGTATTTAGATAAACGTTTTTCGTGAATATTTGCTTTGGTTTTATCGGTGAGAATGTAATCCCAAATTACAACTTGTGATAAAACATTATTTTTAGTTTGATATTCTGCTGTTATATAAAGGAATAACATCTTGGTATTCCAATTAAATAATGGAGTTAAATCTGTATCTAAATCTACTGAGAATACTGAGTATTCAAAATTACGTTGTTTATTACTAAATTTAAATAATGAAATAATATTAGTATTTGGTTATTATTGAATGATTATAATGGTTATTTTTAATGTGTATTTAATTTTTGTTATCAATTGATATTATTATCTCAATAATTATATTTTTGTAAAGTTCTTATTTTTAATTATTGTTTATTGTTTATTTGTTTTCGATGTTTATTATTGTTATAATTTAAATTGTGTTTGTATACTTTACTATTTGTGAATTTCATTTAATTTAATATCTACATTAATATGATCTGAAAAGAAAGCTCTACTGAGACAATTTAAAAGTAAAACACCTACTAAAACAATACCACCGAAACAAACGATGGTGTTTGCTCTTTGACTAAAACTATACATTTTATTAATATATACAAGAAAAATTAAAATCTAAACAAAATGTAATAGTATTTGAAAAAAAATATTAAAAAATAAAAATAAAAAATTAAAAAATTTAAAAAAATAAAATTAAAAAAAAAAAATTAGAAAAAAAAAAAAATGAAAAAATGATTATGGTGCATCATCATTTTAAATATTTAAATATATTTTATTTTTTAATTTAGCTTAATTATAATTGTTTTTAAATTTATTAAAATTTTTAAATAATAGTTTTATTGATTATTTATTAATTTATTAATTTTTTTATTTTTTAAATTTTTTAAAATTTTTTTTTTTCCATATTTATTTTTTATTTAAATAAAAAATATTATCGAACTATTGCTATTTATTATATTATTGAATTTATATATCAAAATTGATTAAGTTATTATTGGAATATGTATCATATATATTTAGTTCTTTGGCTAGTTCTAAATAAATTTTTTTTTTATTTCTGTTACATTCAAAACATGAATTTGTAATACCCATATCATCGGAATGGTGGAACATTTTTGAATGCCTTGAGATATTTTTTTTACTGTCAATGTGTATACACCCATCATGTTTGCATTTTGCTTTGTCAGAGTCTAGATGAATAGTTTCTTCAATATTGGTAATCTGGATTAAATCTATATGGCTCGTTACTAGGTGTTTTTTGAGTTCTTCATAGCTTGGTAGGATTGATTTATGATTATCTATAAGGCAATAATAATAGCGAGAGTTTTTTATTATTTGTGAAGAGGTTGATATAAATCTTTCAAGTTGAAAGCGGTATTTATATAGTATGGATTCCATTTGGGTTGGTATTTCTTTAACATCCAGGTTTCCATCAAATAATAATCTAAAAAATTTTTCATTAAACCTTTCTGGAATTTTTGGATTTATTGTTTTAATTTCTGATGATGACAGTGATGTTATTGCTCTTCTTCTTTCCAATAGTGATTTTATTAGTTTTTCTCTTGGTGTTAATTTATTAAAGTCGTCAATATTTACATTATTATTGTTTGAATGGTTTGAATTTAGTGGTGGTGTTTTTGTTAGTGTATTAAAAGAATCAAAGTTTATTGGAGGAGAATTTTGAGGAGAATTATTTTTTTTTGAATTATTTGTGGTTTGAAATACATTTTCATCTGATAAATGGTTATTAGTTTTTGGTTGCGTTTGAGAAAGTGTGATATCTGGTGGAGAAGTTGGGGGAACAATTAGTTGTCGTAGAATCACTAGTCTTTTTCTAGCTTCTTCTATTTGGTTCTCTATTTTTTCTATTTCCATTTCAATGATTTTTCTATTTTGAATTGATAAAGCTGGCTGATAATTTTTAAATGGTGGAGGTAAGAATTTTGTTTTTTTAAAGGGGTTGTCAAAATCATCATCATCAAAAATATTAAAATTTGAGTATTTTCTTATATTATGATTATTTATTTGAAAATGAGTATTACAATATTCCTGATATGTTATGGGAGTATTTATATTAGAATTATTTATATTACAATTATTATTACAATTATTATCATTATCATCATTATCATCATTATTTTTATAATGGCTATTGTTATAGATGCTTTTATAATTATTATCCATTTTTAATTGTTTTTTCATTACTGTTTATAGTTTTATTTTCACCGTTGTAAAAAATAATTTCGATAAAATAAAATAATTATTTTAAATGTGTTATAGTTATTAAACTTTTTGAATATGATATTTATAAAGTAAAACCATCATAAAAGAGAGAAATAATTATGATTTTCTCTTGTAAATTGGTTTGTAAAATAGAAACCAAAAAAAAAAAAAAAGAAAAAAAATTAAAAAAAAAAAAAAAGTAAAAAAAAAAAATTTAAAAAAAAATTCACCTCTTTTCTAACTTTAATTTTTTTTTTTTTTTAAATATTTTTAAAATATTATTTTTTTTTTAAGGGGAGGGGTTATATTTGTTTCATTTATTTAATTTTTTTCTATCTACTGGTCAAGTATCTTCTATGGTTTGATATGGTGGCAATCATAGGCGATTCCTAAAGAATTTACTGAACAGCATGAAAGGGTTCCTCTTGTACACTTGTTTTGATTATTTCTAAGTGGCACACAACCTATTCCGATTCCACCTAAATTGGGCCCACAACAAAACAATGAATCTTTGCAGTCTAGCGGTTCTGAACTACCGCTATAGCAACTATTAATATTTAAAGTAAGTATTAAAATTAATAATAAAAAGATTGGTTTATAAATAGCTTTCATTTGTTTTTTTTTTTTTAATATTGGTTTATTAATTATTTATTGTATAATTATTTATTTAAATAATAATAAAATAAAAATAAAAAAATAAAATACATATTTAATTTATATAAATATAAAATAAAAATAAATATTTAATTTAAAAAAAATAAAAAAAAATAAAAAAAATAAAAAAAAAATTAAAATATAAAAAAATAAAAAAATATATATATTTTTAAAATATTTCTTAAAAAAGAAAATTATTATAAAATCTTTTTTTATTTTGAAAATCTACAAATAAATATATAAAATTTAAAATCAATAGCAATAAACTAAATTTTTTTTTTCTTTTTCATTTTAGTTTTATTTGTGAACATACAACATATTTAAAAATTTTGCTGAAAAATGTCGAAAATGTTAAAATTAGATGCAAATAATCAACAATGTAAGAATTTATTATAGATATAAATATTAAAAATAAAATGAATCTAATTCCTAATTTGTGTATTTAGCGGTTGTTATAAAAGACAAATATGTGGATATTAATCTAAGAAATTTAAATAGTTGCGATAGTAGGGTAAATATTTTAATCAACGATAGAAAAGAAAGAGAAGTAGATGTTGGCCCTGGTTTAATAGTTGACCTTAATTTAAGAGTAGATGGTTGTTTAAAGATATCAAATGAAGGTCCTTCATCATTGCTAACAAAAATAGATTTTGTTTAAAAAAAAAAATATAATATAAATAAAATACAATGAAATAAATATAAAAATATAAAACAAAAAAGTCATATTTTATTTGTTTTAAAATTTAATTGATAATACAAAAGAGTTTTTAAATTTAATAAGAGTTCCAGTAGCCATGACGACCGGTATATAAAGTATAGCTTTTATATGTAGTCCATCTTGTTTTCCATACAAATTTGCTGTTTTCATTATTGCCAAATGATGATGATGATGAAGATGAGTCAGAATTGTTTATTTTGTTGTTGTTTTTAGCATCATTGCTGAATGAACCGAGTTTAGTAATAGCATCTATTGTAATAAAAAAAGAAAGAAATGAAAAAAGTTGATTAGTATAAAAGAAAGAATTTATAATTAATTATTAATAATTATTTATAATATTTACTGAAAATCATTTTTAATTTTTAGTAATTTAAATTTTTTATTTATTAATACAATGTCTTTTTTATTTGTTTGTTTTGAATGGATTAAAAAAATAATTTTCAATTTGTTTAAATAGTTTTTACAAAAAAAATTAAATTTGTTTTTTTTGTTTTTTTTTAATTATAATAATATTATAAATTAATTGTACAATTTGAATTTTTAATAAAATAATATTATTCTCCCGAAATCATTCAATTTTGTTTTTGTTTATTTCCTTATTTGAAATTTAAAATCTAATATCTATTGAACAAATATAGGTTAATAAATAGAACATACAAAAAAAAATTGATTTATTATTAATGATTGTTGTTGTTGTTAAGTTTGTAGTAGTAGAAGTTATTATTTTTTATAGTGGTTGTTATTGTTGTTGTACAATTAGTAGTGTGCTTTTTTTTTTTTTAAAAATAACAAATTTTATGTATCCCTCTATCATTATTTCTTGTATTATTTCAGTATAATAAATTGTTGTTTATTATTATAATGTTTATCAGAAATGTTTTTTTTTATTATTCATATCATTAAATTTCAGTTAACTACTTCAAAATAATAATGATATAATAGAAATAGTGTGTGTTAGGTCAATTATTATTATTTTTTTTTTTTATAAATATTTTTTTTGAACGTGTGGGGGGAAGTTAGAGTAATGTTTTTAGCATATAAATATACATTTATTTAAGTGTGTGTTTTTGTGGTTGTGATACATCGGGGGTAAAACTTTATAATATATATTTGAATTTTTATCATTTAATTATTTATTTATATAACATATACAGGGATTCAATCAAAATCAAATCAAAATCATAATTAAAAAAACAAACATCAAACACAGTAGAAACTAACAAATTTAATAACATCATGAACAAAATCCAAATATTAATTTAATATAAAAATAATAAATAAATTGTAATTACTATTAGATCCGAGCAAAATAGTATATAGAAACTGAGAGTAAAACAATTCAATATTAATTTATTCCAATCTACATTTATATTTCAATAATTATTATATTTTTATGAATGTTCGTTAGATGTATTGTTGTTAATGTCATTAGAAGTTGCTTCGCACAAAATTAAAAGAAAAAAAAAAAAAAATTAAGATATAAATCTTAAAACACACATTCAAAAAAAAAAAAAAAAAAAGAAAAGGGGTATTACCAAATTTGTTTTTTTATATCTATCCATAAATAATAATATTATTGTTGTTGTCTTTTTATCTATGTCTTTTTTCTTTTAATATTGATATTATTGTTTTATTAATTAGTAATGATATTATAAATTTTTTTTGTTTTTTTTATTATTTTTTTTAATTATTTTTTTTAATAAACCAAAATGAAAGAGAGAATGATGGGGATAATGATCTGCAGTAATGCCACCAACCGCTTGGCATAAATAACATGTCACCAGGCTTTAAAATAGTTTCGATATAGTTAGAGTTTGCCTTTTCAAATAATGGATATTTCTCGAGATTAGGATTTTCGATATCAATTAAACTGATATTATTTTGTGCAGTTTTTGAACTACCTTCACCATCTTCATCATGTTCTTTAACGTAAAGATAAGGTTTCATGTTTGGATGGTACAAACGTACATATTTATAACCAACAATTTGAGATAAAAAGTTATCATAGGAATCATAATGAAGTGGTGTAATTGTATTACCTAAATAATTATATATAAAAAAATATTATTATTAATAAAATTTTATATTAAATTTTATAGTAGTTATGAAAAGCATTGATTATACCTGTTCCAAACCAAACATGTGGACTAATGCCTTCTTCTTCAGTTTCATGTACTTTGGCATCACCTGTAGATTGTAAAAATTTTGGGAATTTAAAATCATCGAGTAGTGATGGTAATTGTTCGATTAAACCGTGTTGAGCTAAATAACCAACGTTTTTCGAGTGGGTTTTGATACTGTTTGAATCGATGCTAGATGGAACCATAAAGTTTTCAATAAATTCGTTTAGTTTCATTACCTTTTCTGACCAATCTTGAGTTTGCTCTTCTGCAGATGCTGGTGCTTTGTCTTTTGAATATAATTTATTATGGCCCAATTCAATTGGTACCAATCTATTTCCATAGTTATTTAAAAAGTAGTTCAAATCTTTCCATTTATTAATACAACTCCATTGAATAGCATCACCTCTAATTATACATGGTTTGTTTGGATCTAAATGATTTAATTTGAAATTACTAAATTCTTTTTCATATTCTTGATCATTGATACTGGTGCTATTGCATGTGATGATTGGTATTTGATTGGCTTCATTAATTTTTGGAAATTCTGAATAGTTTATATTTTCATCCAATACCATTGGTATTTCTTTTTGCTCTTTTCCTGTTGACTGTGGTTGCTCTTTTAATTTATTTGTACATTCAGTCATAAATGGTATTAAAATTTCTTTTGGTGCACCTAAAATAAACGATAAATCTAAAATTTCCAATACTTTATTAAAGTCGTTTTGGGTATAGTAATAAGATGCACCTGCTAACTGACCCATAATAAATGCTTCTCTTAAACAAATATGGTTCCATGATCCTTCGTTTAATAGTTTGTCCCATGTAATTTTATAAATTGATTCGTAAATACTCTTAATTTGGTTATACTGCTTTTTATTATAAAAATAAAATAACTTTTTTAAATCGCTGGATAGTTGATTAGTTACATCCGAGTTTAATAATACCAAATCTTGACATGCTATATTTAAAGAAAATTAATAAAATATTTTATTAATTTAATTTTTTTTAAATTTAATAATATATACTTTGGTTATAACAATTTTTTATCAATGTAAAAATGGGGACTCTAATTTCCTCTTTTAAACTCATGTTTGTTCCAATAAAGAGTATTTATACTAAATATATATTATAATTAAAATAAAAAAAAAAACGAAAATTAAAAATTAAAAAAATAAAAAAAAATCTTTTTTTTTTTTTTTTTTAATTTCTTATTTTTCATTTCCATAATTTTTTTTTTAATTAGTCTCTTTATGGTATATCCGAATAGTGTGTTTAAAAATAGAATGTTTGATGGACCATATTGACTTGTTTATATAGATTGATAAAAACAAACTTTTTAGAAAAATATAAAATATTATTTATTAATACTATTAATAAAAAACTATAAAAAGAAAGAAAAATCTTTTTATTTTAAAAATTTAAAATAATATTATATTCTTTTAACCATGCATTGAATTGAATTAGATAATCCAATAAAACCTTTTCACGAAAATTGTTTTCTATTTTATCTCTTCTTGAAATGATGTCGTTTAATACTCTTTCAGTGTCAAATAGTTTATGAATTGGAGCTGTTTCATCGTCAATGATTTTTAACATTAAATCACATAATCCGAAAAAATAATTATTATCGCATATACTTGGATAACCACTTTTACGTCTATAAAGAGCATCTTCTGGTAAAAAACCCTTAAGTGCACGACGTAAAATTCCTTTTTCTATATTGTCAATTGCCTTGGAGTTATATGGTAAGTTCCAAACATACTCTACTAGTTCTTTATCAGAAAATGGTACTCTAACTTCAAAGCCGCTCTTCATGCTAAGACGATCCTTTCTATAAAAAAAATAAAATTAGTAACTAAACTGGATATTTTTAATATTTTCTTTTATTTATTAATACAAACCTATCTAATGCAAATGGGATAAATCTTTTAATGAATAGATATGAAAGTTTACGTTGTTTACATTGCAATTCGCTTTCACCTTTTAAATATGGTATTGATTTAATACATTCTTTGTAGTTCTTTTGTAAAAATTTTGTTCGGTTTAATTTTGACAACACATCCTTCTTTAAATATAAATGAGTTTCAGCAAATGCAATCTCTAGCCATGGAAAATTTTTAAAACCAAGATATCTTTCATTTGCAAACCATTGATGATAACCAGAGAAAATTTCGTCACTGCATTCACCTGATATTGCAACTGTACCAAATTTCTTCATTTCTTTGAATAACAAATAGACTGATGTTTCTACTTCACCATATCCTGGTAAATCTCTTGCTCTCATTGGTTCTAATATGTTGTCCAATAGTTGCTGTGCTCCAAGCTCTACAGTGTGATGATTTGTGTTACAGTACTCTGATACTTTTCTTGCCCATGGTTCGTCTCTGTCAATACGAATAACTGAAGGTCTAAAATCTTTTTCATCATTTTCAAAAGTCATTGAGAATGTTTTTAATGTTTCTTGATTCTTTTTAAATTCGTCCGACGCCAAGGATACTAAACCGCTTGAATCTAAACCACCTGATAACATTGCAACTAAAGGTACATCGGATACTAATTGTCTTTTTAATGAGTCGCTTAATAATGTTTTGATTTTTTGAACTGTAGTCTCTTCATCGTCAGTGTGTGGTGAGCTTTTTAAATTCCAATATACCCTGTGATCCGCCTTCACTATAATAGTGCCATGTTGGTTTCTGGTTTTCGAAAATACTATATACTGGCCTCCTGGTACTTCATAAACACCTTGAAATATACCACAACCTGGTGTACGAACTGGTCCATGAAATAAAACTTCGCATAATCCATTGGTATCTAAAACAGGTTTAACTTTTGGGTGGCTTAGCAGAACTTTTAGCTCTGATCCAAACAATATGGTTCTTCCTCTAAGACAGTAGAATAGCGGCTTTATGCCCAAGTGGTCTCTTGCTAAAAATAGAGTTGATTTTCTTTCGTCATAAATTGCAAATGCAAAAATACCGTTGAAATGGTTTAAACACTCTTCGTTCCATTCTAAATATGATCTTAATATAACCTCTGTGTCGGAATAAGACTTGAATGTATGTCCTTTGCTAACTAATTCTTCTTTTAACTCTTTGAAGTTATAGAGTTCTCCATTATAAGTCAAAACTACCGAAGCACCAGTACGTTCATTTTTATATACCATTGGTTGTTTGCCACCTTCTGGATCGATTACAATTAATCTTCTATGACCAATCTGGGCATTTTCTGAACTCCAAAAACCTTCTGCATCTGGACCTCTATGAATAACGCTATCATTCATTTTCTTTATAATCCCATGTTCGTTTGAGATATCTTTTGACCAATCTATCCATCCACTAATTCCACACATTTTAAAATTAATAAAATATTAGAATATTATTTAAAAAATGTTTAAAAGGTATAATTTTAAATTTTAAAACTGTTTTAATTAAAAAAAAAAAAAATAACAAATAATTGTGCTTTAATTCTATTGTTATTTTTGATTGTGTGTTGTATTATTTATATGAATAATATGAAAAATCTATTTTATTAAGGTTTTTTTTTTTTAAATAATGTTTTGTTTTGTTTTGTTTTGTTTTGTTTTTTTTTAATGGTTTTATTTTAATGGTTTAAATATTTAATTTAAATATTTTAATATTTTAATATTTTAATAATTAAAAAATTAGATAAATTAATTTATTTTATTATTTCTATTTTCCCCTTTTTTTGCTTATTTCTATTTGGTGTAGATCATTTTTAAAAAGAAACAAAAAAAGAAAATGATTATTTTACTCTTTATTATTTTTATTAATTTATTTTAATTTATTAAGTACTATTATTTATAATTTATATCTATTTATACATTCTGTACCAAAAGCTCCCCAATAAAGTAATAACTTTAATCTTCATATTGCGGGAGAGTGACATTATATTTATATATAACCTTTTAATATTTTCAATCAATTAAAAAAAGGTGTATAATTATTTGTGCTATATTTATTAATAAATATACACCATGTTATTATTTTCTACTGTGTAATTAAACAAGAAAAAAAAGATATTATGATTTATTTTTTATTTTATTATTAATTATCTGACACATTACTCTTTTGATACTTTTTCGAGTGGGGGTTTAAATATCTATAAAACAAACAAAAATAATAAAAAATAAAAATAAAAATAAAAATAAAAATAAAAATAAAAATAAAAATAAAAATAAAAATAAAAATAAAAATAAAAATAATAGATAAATTATGTTTGTGTACTTTTTTCTATATTTTGATTTACTATTTACTATAAAATTGGGTTGTTTTTTTAAAATATTTTATTAACACACCATAAAAAATTATTTTAACAATAATAAAAATTTAATATTGTTATAATAATAAACCCTAAAGAATTTATTTTTTTCTATTATTGAACAAAATATTATTTTGATTTAAACATAAATAATGAAATTAAATATATATCATACCTTTACATATTTGATATATATATGGTCGCTTGAATGAACTCGATCAAATTTTATAATAATATTGGTCCTCATTCAAAGAAATTATTCATTTTTAATTTAAAAAATATTTTTTAAAATTAATTTGAAAATAAAAAAAATAAAAATCAAAAAAAAAAAATAAAATTTTTTTAATTTTTAAAAAATTTTTTTTTTTTTTTTTTTTTTTTTTTGATTTTATTATTTTATTTTTTTTAATAACAATAAATTTATTTTTTGAAAAAATATTTATACTTTATTTATTTTAAACATTTCTTTTTCTGTTGTAACATCACCCTATAGTTAATTCATTTTCCTTTGTATTTTAATAAATTTTCATTTTTTTAGTATATTAATTTATATATAAATTAATACATAAATAATAATAATAATAACAATAATAATAATTAAAAAGATATATTTATAATTATTTTATTGTTTTAAACATATTCAAAACTCACACTCATATTATATATTCATTGTAATAAAATTATGCAAAGTGGAAACAATACAATGAATTATCAAAATTATGGACTTAAAATTGGGTTTCCACCAGGAGGACCAGTCAGATACAAAATGATGAAGTTTACAGATTATAATATAACAGTAAAGGAAGCAATTAACATTATAACGACTAAACAAATTATACCAAAACCAGAAATTCATGTATTACAAATTACATACTCTGAAGGTGGCAGTGAACAACCAATAAACACAAGTACAGGAGGAGGTAGTACCAACAGCACACCATTATCAGGTTCCATTGGCATGCCACCACCACCATCATCATTGAATGATTCAAACGATTTAAAAAAGTCATCATCGTCTGGTGTTGTTTGTATTAGTAATAGAAAAATTAAATGGATGGAAGATAACGAAAGATTGTCATCATATCCACTCAATGCTCAAGATGTAGTTATAGAATTAAAAAAGAAATACCAATTAGTTAAAGTACACGATGGTAAACAAACACTCAGTATTATCGTTGATGTTACAAAACCATTAATAGATTTAATGGGTTTGGTATCATGTAAATTTAAATTAAAATCAAATGGTGAATATAGATTATTCACTTCAGGTAAAGGTAGTGTATTTTATTTTATTTTTATTATTATTTATGTTTCCAATATATTTATATTAATTTATTTTTTAAAAATTAGAAATTAATTTAAATTTTGATGTTAGAAGTTTAAATATTGATACATCATTGCCATTTATATTAAGAGATGATAACGATTCAAATGCAATTCCAATTGACCAATATCAAAATTGGGAAAGTAGTGACGATGAAGAAAATGATATCAATAATAATTTGTCCGTACCAGCCAAGTCAATCATCAATCCAGTTAAAGAAGGTTATTTAAAGAAATTGGATAAAAAGAAATCATGGAAAACTAGATACTTTAAATTGACCGATAAATATCTTTATTGGTACAAATCTCCAACATGTGTTAAAGCTTCTGGTATGGTTATTTGTAAAGATTATCACATTAAATTAGCACCATCGACTCATGTAAATATTCCCATTAATTATTAGAAAATTTATATTTATTTATTAACTAGGTTTTTTTTTATTTAGACAAAAGAATATAAATTAGAATTAACTCCAAAAAATATTGTAGCAGGTGCAACTACTATAATTCATTTTATTAAATTTGAAAATGAAAATGAATTAAAACAATGGTGTGTGCCACCAATTGTATTAGAATCAACACCAGCAGCAACACCAAACCAATCAAGATTTGCTAATAAAACCAATAAAATATTTGGTGTACCAATTGAAAAGACAATTCAACCAGGTCAAACAGATAATATCCCAATTATTGTTTCTCAAACAATGGATTATATTGAAAAGAAGGCTATGGATATAACAGGTATTTTCCGTTTAAGTGGTTCGGCAACTACCATCGAGGGTTGGAAAGCTAAATATGATAAAGGTGAAAAAGTTGATCTTAATCAAGAAACTGATCCACACGCTGTCGCTGGTTTATTAAAGCTTTACTTTAGAGAGTTACCAGATCCATTGTTAACCTACGAAAGATATGACAATTTTATTGCTGCTCAGTGTGTAGACGACTTCCCATCAAGAATAAAGTTAATTAAACACTTGGTTAAATCATTGCCACCTGTTAACTATGCTGTTCTTTCAAAATTAATGGCATTTTTAGGTAAAGTTGCAACTCATTCTGCAAATAACAAAATGCAAAACCACAATCTTTCTACTGTTTTTGGTCCAAATTTAATTAAAGATCGTCCTAATGAAAATGATGCAGGCGGTAATATCCAGGCTTTAGTTGAAGATACTCCAACCATCAATGGTTTAACTTTATCATTAATTAGAGATTATCAATATATTTTCAATGTAAGTTTATTTTTATATTATAGTACTATAATTAAACCAAAGTACATTTATTAATTTTTTTTTACAGGATAAAGAAATACCAGAACAAGTAATCTCTGCAAAAACATTATACGAATATTTAGGTAATGAAGAGTCAACAGAAGATGATCAAGATTTAATATTTCCAAAAGGAGTTATTATTAAAGTTAAACAACAAGGTACTGATGGTTGGTGGACAGGTGAATATCAGGGTAAATTAGGTAAATTCCCAGCTTCATATGTAGAGTTACTCCCACACTCACAATCTCCATCTACATTACTTAGAACAAAATCCAACTCAAATTTATCAAAGAAAAAGAAATTCATGATGGAGATGGAATCAACAAAATCAAAGAATCAAGATTTGGAGAAAAACAATAAACAGCTACAAATTACAAAAAAAGAATTACAAGAAACCATTTCAGATTTAGAATACGAAATGAGTCAGCTTGAAAGAGATCCATCCATTTTCCCATACTTATCTCTTTTGAATGACTGTAAAGCAAATAAAGATATCTCTTTAATTCCAAAGAATACCGATCTTTTACTTCAAAAGTTTGAAGAGTACAAAGCTAGTAATGAAGCATTATCAAATCTCAAATCCACCCTTATCGAAGAATATGAACAATTTAGCAACAATCCTAAAAAGAGATTAGAATCTAAAGAAAAAGAACAACTCCAACAAAAATATGATAGTTTATCTTCAATTATTGATAAATCTCAAAAAATTAGATCAAGAAGTATAAATCATAAGAAAGCTATTAATGATGATTTGGTCGAAATAAAAAGCTTATTACTATTGAATAATAAATAAAACAAAACATTAATAATAAATTTTATTAAAATAGATCAAAAAAAAAATCATAAAATAACAATACACCTCCATTATTTATTTAGCTGGAACAAAAATAAAATATTATTACATATATTAAAAAAACAATTTTAGAATTTTTTTAATTTAATTTATATTTAAACCGAACTTGTTTTTTATTTTATAATTTTTAAAACACAAAAAATTTAAAAAACTTAAAAAAAATAAAAAAGGGTTAAAGGGGGTCAGAACTTTTAAGTTTTAAAAAAATTAAAATTATTTTTAAAAATTTTTTTTTTTAATACATTAAATAATAAAATGGGGAAATTTATACAACTTTTAATAGAACTAAAATTTGAACTTTCTAAAAAAAGAAAAAAATATCTTTATAAATGAAATTATAGAACAATTGGAGCAAGAATATAAAATTGAAAAAGAGGAAAAAAAAAATTATTACAATAAAAGGTTTGCCCAATTAGAATTTGCATTAGATCAGAATGAAGTAATGTGGGGAAAAGAAGTTGAATTTTGGAAAGAAACAGTGGAAAGAGAAAGAGAAAACAAAAAAAATAGAAAATGAAATTTTAAAAGCTTTTGATAAAAAATTTGAAGATTTGAAAAAATTTTCTGAAAAATTTATCAAAGAAATTTTTAAACAAAATATCTATGAAGTAAATAATATTGAACTAAATAATATAGGTATATTTGGCAATAACAGTAATGATTATTATAATAATAATAATAATAATAATAATAATAATAATTATAATAATAATAATAATAATAATAATAATAATAATAATTCCACCACAACCACTATTACAACTACAACTACAACCAAAAATAATAATACTAATAATAACAACATTAACAACAATAACAATAATGAAAACCAAATTCGATAATTCCCAATAGTTTAAACGTAAATACACAAATAAAAAAAAAATTGTATTATTTTTTCAATAGTGATAGCTATTTCTTTCCAATAAAACAGTTTTTTGAAGAAAATAATGCGAATTTCGAATTTATAGATTCAAATTAGGGACTAAAATTTAGGATATTTTTTTAGAAAAAAGGTTTTTTTTTTAGTTTAGGGTATAATAGGCATTTTTTGAAGTCAATTTCTTAAATAAATAAAAATATAATCCAAATTAAGAAAGATATTCAAAACAAGAAAGATAACTTATGATAATTATCAAAGAAAAATAAATAAAAGGAAGATTTTTAAAAATAAAAATAACAATTAAAAAAAATTATTTATTTATTTTTTATATTTAAAACTAATTTATGTAAAATTTTATATTGTTTAATCAAATTCTTTAATAAAGAGATTAGTTTGATTTTCATTAATTAAATCATTAAATGTTAAATTAAGATCAAAACAACATTTATCAGAATCTAAAATAGAGAATTTTGAGGTAATATTTAAATTTTTTGAAACAGTTTCATAAAATTCTCCAATTTTGGTATTTCTTGCAACTTTAAAATTATTACAGACACCTCCTCTATCTACAGATATAGTAAAAATGTTTTGAGGTTTTTCATTTGCTGCCTTATCAGGTGAAGTTACATTACTTTGAATAGGTGAGGAAATAGAAGATGATTCTTGACTATTTTGATCTGGTAGAAGAAAAGAATTTTTTTTGATTTCTTGTTTTAAAGTTGCTTTGGAGATATCGAGAGCTTTTTTTAAAATTCTCCATCCAACTGAATCTTTTGAAGAATTTCTTACTGTGATATCATTTATGTAAGGAACAACATAGAAGATGTTGTCCCCTTGAACGGGTAGCTTCTCCATTATTTCTTTTTTTATTCTTAATTGATCTTTTTCAGAATGATGATCACTATGAGTAACGACCAAAATGGGTTGAATATTATTACTGCATTCATTTATCTTTTTTTTAATCAGTTGAACTTCATTATAATTGGAAACGATGTTCATAGAACAAACAAAAATGACTGCGTGGCACTTATACATTTCCATTGGACAATTTTCTTTTATATAATCGCCGGGGTGATATTTTCCTTCAACTGCTAAAGAATAATCTAATAAATTATTTGAAGAGGTGATACCTGCCTATATAAAATTATTTTGATTAGTAAAATATTATATTGTTACATATTTATTTATAACCTACTTTGTCTACCAAATTAATTTTAATTTTATTGATAATCTCTTCATACATTTGAATTTTATCCATTTTATTTTTAATTTCTAATATTTGATGAATTGGATTAAAATGAATTCCCTTTGTTGTATGACCAGTTTGTTTTGAACTATAAAAAAATGTGTAGTCAATTTTCCCAGTGGTAAAGAGATTGAAAAGTAAATTGAGAACACTAGATTTGCCATGACCTATTACCCCATCTACATATATGTTAATTGGGAAATCTGTAACATAATCTTCACTTAGCCAAAAAAATGGAATTGATAATTTATAATTATATTTTATCTTATTTACTTCCATATTAAACTTAATAAAGTTTGGAAATTCATTCATATCGCAATTATCTTTAACTTTCAAAATAACTTGTAATTCACAAGGATTTCTATCAAATGATACTTCATTTTCTACTTTATAAGGAAAATAATATTCATTTTCTTCAAAATTAATTATAACTCCATTTGGTAAAAAGGGTTTATTTATTTTTGAAAAAATTGAAAAAGTAATAGAAAAATCTTTACTTGATTTTTGTATTGAGTTTTTAGTTGGAGATACTGAAAAACCTATTGGATTGTGTATTGTTTGTGGTACTAGTTCTTTAATTTTATCAGAAAATTCTAAATAATTTTGGAAAATATAATTTCTTTGTTGAACAAAAAATTCATCCATGTTTTCTTTTGATATTCCAACCCCAATATTATAAAATTTAATACCCTTAAAAAATTTATTAATTATTAATATTTAATAATTTAATTTTATTAAGTTTTTAAATATTTTGACTTACTTTAGTTGTCATAGATGTAATTAGATCTTTAGATTGTTTATCGTCTTTGGATAGCTCATCGGTAATTACCATCACAACATTTTCTCTTGTACTGTCTATATTGGCAAATGCTATTTCTAAAGCGCTTTTTAAATTTTTTTCTTCTTTTTTTGCCCATGGGTATATACCTATTACAGATGATGCTTTATAACCTAAATTAAAGAATTAATATAATGATCAAAAAATTTTAAAAATTAATACTTACTTATTAATTTTATTCCACTTAATAACTTTTCAGTATCATTGGTGAAATTGGAAACTATTTCTGCAGTATTTGAATTACCAATAACCATTATTTTTTCATGTTTTGATAATATATTTACAATTCCATTTATATATCGTAAACATAAATCAAAATTTTTTTTATCACTTGGATTGTTACAAATAATAATATAGTTGGTTTTTACTCTTAAAGCTTTAGTTATTAGGTTTGTCATTTTTATTTACAAATAATAATTAAAATTTAAAAAAAATTTTTATTTTTATTTTTTCAATTATAAGGAATTAAAAATTATAATTATGATTAATCGAATTAAATAACTTAACTCAAAATCAGATAATTTTAGACCCAACTATAAATAGCGAAACTAACCCCATCATAAAAATTAAGTTTTTTAAATAATTTAAAAAACTTAAAAATTAACACAATTTTAAAAAACTTAAAAATTAACACAATTTCAAAAAACTTAAAAATTAACACTAACATTTAAACCTTTATAAACCCCAAATGTATAATTTTCATTATTTTACTTAATTTTAAAAATAAAAATGGAAAATATAAATAAAGAAATAAATATACAAAATTCATTGTTGGGAAAAAGGTATTCAGTTAATTTTTCATTATTTGGTTTTAATGATAGTTTTAAATTTAACATTATTAAAATTTTTTGTTTAATGTCATTTATTTATTTTTTTAGAGAAATAGTTTCAAAAATTAAATTTTGGCCAAAGCTCAAAACAAATAAAAAAGATAAAAAAGAAATTATACCTCTAAATTTTGTATCAAATGAAAAAGATCATCTTGGTGCTTTTAATCTTTTTTTTACCAAAGACCCAGAAAAATTAGAATTTAAAACTGACTATAAATTAAATTTTGAAAATGCCAATATAAATAATAAATCAGTTGTAATATACTCAATACCTGTGTCAAGTAAAAGTACCCAATTCGATCAATATAAACATGAAATAGAAGAGCTCCAAAAAAGTTATAATCAAGTAATTCTTTTTATTTGTTTACCCTCAGAACAATTTTCATCATTTAGTTTTGAAGAATTTAATGGTACTCAAATAAATTTTATACTAAAACTAGGAGTTATCCATGATAATAGTTTTAATCAAAAATCATTAAATTCATTTTATAATAAAATAAGTGAAATTTTAAAATAAATAAAAAAAAATTTTAAATTATTTTTTTTTTTTTAAAATTTTTTATAATAATCAAAAATAAATTTAAATAAATCTTATTGTTAATTTGTTACCTCACTTAATACGGTTTACATAGATTCCTTTTTGTTTATAAAAAAAAAACTCTATTTATGGATTCTAACTCAAACAAGAAGCAAACTACAAAAAAATTTAGAATGTAGTAAGGAAAATAGAAAATATATCAATAATGGATATAAAAAATATCTACTATAGTTTGACATTGTTCTTTCACTCTTTCATTAGAGATGCATTGGAAATAAAATTTTTACTATATTGCACAATTTTAGGAAATGTTGCATAAGTAAATAAACCGGCTTCTTTATGAGAAAGATATAGATTTCAAATAGAAAAAATCTAGTGTCAATTTAAATTTATAGATATCTAAAATGGAATGATGAAATTATAAATAAAAATATATTAAATAAATAAATTAATAAATATCCACTTTAAATATTAAAATATTTATATCAATTTTTTCTCTATTTCTTTGTTTTTTTAATACCATACAAAAATAAAAATATTTGAGTGGGTGTAAGTGGTGGGGGTGTCAATTTTTTTAATAATAATTAAGTTTTTTAATCTATTAATTATAATTTTTTAAGTTTTTTTTTAAGTTTTTTAAATTATTTTTTAAACTTAAAAATTTAAATTAATTTTAAGTGATTTAAATTTTTAATCAAAGTTACATAAATTTTTATTTTTAATTTTGTAAAAAATTTTTTAATCTTTTTTAAAAATAAAATGAGTAATCATATAGATGTGGAAGAAGCTTTAAAATATATATTTAATAAGGAAGCTAATTCAAATGAAAATCATCAAAAATTGGCAGATAATAAATTAATTAAAATAGTTATGAAACTCTTAGATGTTCATATTAAATATTTTTATAATAAATATTATATTCAAACAAATGATAACTCAATTTATTGTTTTTCAGATAATGAAACTAATTGTTTTCAAACATTAAATCAGTTTTTTTCAAGTATTCCTAACCACCCTTATAAAATAAAAAATGAAACCATATCAAGTATTCAAAGTAAGAAATCTGCAGTTTATGTTATATATTGTATAATTAAAGAGCCAAATTATTCAGATCACAGAAATTCAATAGAAGAATTACAAAAGAATTTTAAGACGTTGGTAATATTATTATTGGTATCAAACTCAAGTCAGTCACTGTCAAAATTAGAAGGATTCCACGGTAATGTTATCAATTTACAAGTGAACCTTGATGAAATTGTAAATAATAACTTCAACCAAGAATCATTAAATGAATTAAAAAAGATTATCAAATAATAAATTTTTAATTAAATAAATATTTTATTATTTTATTATTTTATTATTTTTGGGTTTATTTTTAACCCTTATTTTTTTTATTTTTTTTTATTTAGATACTTTGAAATTCGAGGTTATATAATGAACTAACCACCTTTTATATTTTTTAATCTTTATAAATATCAAATCAAATACTTTTATTTTATTACTCCATATTATGCTTTTTATATTTCATTTCTTTTAATACAACCGACAATAACTCAACTGAGAACAAGAAACAAAATGGGAAAACTAAGGTTTAATAAAGGATTTCAATCATAGAAACTACATATCACGGAAAATATTTTAATGAATCATGGAAAAACATCACCTCTACTCAAATGTTATTGATGAAATATTAAAAGACTTACCATTCATTTCAAACCTTTTAAAACAAAAAAATTTTAAACTCAATAAAACTTAAACAACAAATATTTTTTAAAATTATTTTTTATTTTTAATTTAAATCTTTAAAATTAATTTATTTAAAACTTTATATTAATGAATCAATATTCTTTTAAATAAAGATCAATTTGATTTTCAAAAAATATTTGACCCATTGTTGAGTGATCATCAATACAACATTGTTCAGAATCTAATATAGAGAATTTTGATGTGATATTAAATTTTTTTTCAACAGTATCATAAAAATCTGAAATGTTGGTTTTGGGTGAAACTCTGAATTTTTCAACGATATCCCCTCTATAAACAGATACAACTAAAGGGATTTGAAGTTTTTCATTAGCTGCACTATCAGGAGATGAACCTTGGCCATTTTGTTCTGGTGTAGGTGAATAATTTTTTTTGTTTTCTATCATTTGGGTTCTAATAGTTTGTTTGGCAACATCTACAGCTTTTTTTAAAATACTCCAACCAACTGAATCTTTTGTGGACTTTCTTTTTGGGGTTTCATTTAAGTAAGGAACAACATAGAAGATGTTGTTCCTTTCAACAGGTAGCTTCTCGATTATTTCTTTTTTTATTTTTAATTGTACTTCTTCAGGATAATGATCACTATGAGTAACGACCAAAATGGGTTGAATTCTAACACTAATGCATTCTAGTAACTTTTTATTAAGCTGTTCCAACTCACTTAAATTTGTATTGATGTTCATTGAACAAACAAAAATAAATGCATGGGCCATATACTTTTCCATTGAACATTTTTCTTTTAAATCATGGTCAGGGTGATACTTTCCTTCAACCGCTAAAGAATAATTTAATAAATTATTTGAAGAGGAGATACCTGCCTATAAAAAATTATTTTTGATTAGAATAAAATCTTATTGTTACATATTTATTTAATACCTACTTTGTCAACTAAAGTTATTTTAATTTTTTTCATAAGCTCTTCATATATTGGATGATTATCCATTTTTTTTTTAATTTCCAAAATTTTATGAATTGAATTAAAACTAATTCCTGTTGTAGTATGACTAGTATGTCTTGAACTGAAAAATACTCCGTAGTCAATTGCCCCAGTGGTAAAGAGATTGAAAAGTAAATTTAGAACACTAGATTTACCATGGCCTATTACCCCATCAACAAAAATGTTAATTGGAAAATCTGTTATACAATCTTCACTTAACCAAATTAATGAGCTTGATAATTTATAGTTATATATTTTATCAATTACTTTTATATGAAACTTAATATAGCTTGGAAATTGTTTCATATCGAAATTAGGTTTGACACTTAAAACAACTTCTAAATTACAGGGATCTCTATTAAATGGTACTTCATTTGTTACCAGATTTCCGAAATAATATTCGTTTTCATCAAATTCAATTTCAACTTGATTAGATAAAAAAGATTCATTTTTTGGTGAAAAAATTGAAAAGGTTATTGAAAAATCTTTACTTGATTTTTGAATTAATTTTTTAGTTGGTGTTACTGAAAATCCAATTGGATTATGTATTGTTCTTGGTACTAGTGCTTTAATATTGTCTGTAAATTGCAAATAATCTGGGAAAAAATAATTTCTTTGATGAACAAAAATTTCATCCATTTTCATTTTTGTGAATGATCCAACCCCAATATTAAAAAATCTAATACCCTAAAAAAATATTTTAATATTTAATAATTTCTTTTTATAAAGTTTTTAACTTTTAACTTACTCTAGATATCATAGATGAAATTAGATTTTTTGATTCTTTATGGTCTTTTGATGGGCTATCAGCAATTATCATTACAACATTTTCTCTGGTACTGTCTATATTGGCAAATGCTTTTTCTAAAGCGTTTATTAAAAATTTAGTTTTATTTTTTTGTGAAATATCTAGTAAATTAAATTAAAACAATTAATATAATGATCAAAAAAATTAAAAAAAATATACTTACTTAATTTTATTTCGCTTAATAACTTTTCAGTATCATTTGTGAAATTGGAAACTATTTCTGCAGTATCTGAATAACCAATAACCATTATTTTTTCATGTTTAGATAATATGTTTACAATTCCATTTATATATTGTACACACATATCAAAATTACTTTTTGAACTTGGATTGTTACATAAAATAATATAGTTGGTTTTTACCCTTAAAGGTTTAGTTATTAGCTCTGTCATTTTTATTTTTAATTAAAATTAAAATTTTTATTTATTTATTAATTGAATTAAATAAAAAAAACAATTTTATTTATATTTTTTCAAAAACAAAGAAATAATTTAAATAATGATTAATCAAATTAAATAACTTATCTCAACATTAAATAATTTTAGCACCAACTTAAAATAAAATATAACCCCATCTTAAAAATTTGTTTTATATTTAAGTTTTTTAATTATTTCAAAAACTTTAATATAAAACAAAATTTAACCCCATCTTAATTAAGTTTTTTAATTATTTTAAAAAACTTAAAAATTTACTCTAATATTTAAAAAACTTAAATTAACTCTATCATTTAAAACTTTATAAACCTTAAAAATTAACACTAAAATTTAAAAAACTTAAAAATTAACTCTAACATTTAATATTTTATAAAACATAAAAAAATATTTTTCATTATTTTATTATTAAATCAAAAAAACTATAGTAAGAAAACTTAAAAATGGAAAATATAGCAAAAATCTTTTCAATGATAGATAAATTGGAAGAGAAACTAGGAATTAACGAAGAAATAAAACAGAATTTTATTGACTTAAAGAATGAAATAAATCTACAAAACTCAAGGATGGAAAAAAAATATACATTTATTTTTTCATTAAATGGAGATAATGAAGCAATATTTGATAATGTAAACATATGTAAAATTCTTTATTATTTCGCATTGTTTTTTAATTTTTTTCAATTTTTTAGAGAAGTAGTTTCAAAAAGTCCCTCCCTTCTTGACAGGTTAACTAAAAGTAAAGAAAAGAAAAAAAACATTACTTTAAATTTTGTCTCTAAAGAAAAAACTCATCTCTCTGCTTTTAATCAATTTTTTTCCAAAGACCCTGAAAAACTAGAATTAAAAACTGACTATAGATTAAATTTTGATAAAGCAAATAAAAATAATAAATCTGTTGTAGTATTCTCAATAGCTGTGTCAAGTAAAAGTACTCAATTTGATCAATATAAAGATGAAATAGAAGAACTTCAAAAAAACTATGATCATGTAATTCTTTTTATTTGTTTGGCTTCAGAACAATTCTCTCCATTTATTTTTAAAGAATTTAATGGTATTCAAATAAATTTTACACTAAACTTTTCAATTATACATGATAATTATTATAATCAAAAATCATTAAAATCATTTTATAATGAAATTAGTGAAATTCTATTAAATAAATAAAAATAAAATTTTTTAGAGATAATGTTTTTTAATTTTTTTTTTTTGTATTTTTTAAGTTTCTTTTAATAATTTATACTTAGTGAATCCATTAAAGGAAAATAACAAACTTTATTATTTTATTACTTTTCTATATTTGCTATTTTAATAATATAGAAAAGTGTGTTTAAATTTTATTATTTTAGCAGTTGTAAAAACAAAACTATTTATAGATGACATAATTGAGGTATCGAACTTACAAAACAATTTAGAACAATAAGCTAGAGGTAAAAAATTATCGTTATCGTTTGTTGAATTTTGATCATGGGAAAGGGAAAAACTAATTTTTTTTAAAAAAATTAAAAATAAATGAAAAATAAAAAAAGGATAAAAAAAGGAAAAAAATTTGTAAAATAATAAAATAAAGGTTTTTATTATTTGATTAATTTAACTTTTTTAAGAATTTATTTTTTTATAATATAAATATTTAAATATTTAATTACTAATATATTTATTTTTTATAGTAAAGTAGCTGTTTTGTTTGGGGGGGGTAAAACCAATTTTTTTAATTTAATTAAATTTTTTAAGTTTTTTTTTTTTTAAGTTTTTATTAAAATTAAACACTTAAAAATTAAATCCTTAAATTCACTTAAAATTAATTTTAAAACTTTTTAATTGAACAAAGATACATAAATTTTTATTTTAATTTGGTCAAAATGAATTACTATATTAATATAATCAAAGATATCGCAAATCAAGATACAATAAATTCACAAGAATTAAAACAGGCTATAAAAAATTTGGAAGAAGCCTATTCAATTGAAAACAATCAACCATTAGTACTTAATAATCTAATTAATGGGGCACTTCCCCATTTTGATATACAATATTATTTTCAAATTAGAAATGATAACTCAATTTATTATTTTTCATATGAAAAAACTTTTTTTGAACCATTGGATCAGTTTTTTTCTAGTATTCCTAACCACCCTTATAGATTAAAACAAGAAGACATGTCAAGTATTAAAAATAAGAAATCTGCAGTTTATGTTATATATTGTCCAATTAAAGAGCCAAATTATTCAGAACACAAAAATTCAATAGAAAAATATCAACAGAATTTTCAGAGGTTGGTAATATTATTATTGGTTGCAAACCCAACTCGGTCTTTATTTAAATTAGAAGGATTCCACGGTAATGTTATCAATTTACAAATAACTCTTAATAAAATTGAAAATAATGACTTCAACAAAGAATCATTAAATAAATTTAAAAAGATTATCAAATAATAAAATTTTAATTAAAAATAAAAATAAATTTTATTATTTTATTATTTATTATTTTATTATTTATTTATTTTTTTGTTTTAAAAAAAAAAAAAATTTAATTTTTTTTTTTTTTAATTTTTTTTTTTTTTAATTTTTTTTTATTTCCAAATATATTTTTTTTACTGGTCCTTTGCAGTTTATTTTTCATTTTGATAGAATTTAGCTCAGAAAATGAAAGATGGAATCGTGATTTTTTTTCGAATTTATAAAATTTAAATTTTTTTTTAAAAAAAAAGAATCATTATAAGATTATAATATTAACAATACTTATTATAATTCTTTGCATGAGTAGTAATAATGACAATTATTAAACATTTAATTATCACTTTATTATTTTTAAATTATTTTGTAATAATATCAAATACATATATTATAAGAGATATCACACCACTTGGAAATTACAATAAAGAGAATATACAATATGCACTCAATGGTAAATGCTCATTTAAAAAGTTAATATTATGTGTTCCCGAAGAAACCGAGGAATGTGACAAATTAACACTAAATATTCAAAATGTATTTACCGGAATATTGTATTCAAATAGTTCTGCATATATTCATTCAGTTCTAGTTGATGGAATCGGTGTTGGTACACAAGAAATTATTATAAATACAAAATCCACATATTCCCTAGAATGTAGAGGTAAGTAATAATATTTAATCTCTAATTAATATATATATTAATATAATTTAATATTATCAATAGATTTAGATTTAAATAAAATTAATTTCAAAATTGTAAATCAAATATATAAAACTTTTAATATTGATCAATTTACATATTCATATAATGGTCTATATAAAATGGAGGGAATTTTAACGGATCAAGCATTTAGTATAGATACAACTGTTAGTGAAACAGTGATTTTTGTGGATCTGCCAAGATGCTCATTTACCAATCAATATTCAAACTATTTTTTAGTAGAGTGTTTCTCAATCCCTACAACTTACAATTTGCAATCTCCAATTAAAATACAACTTTCATCAAATATCTATACACTAGATACATTTGTTAAAGGTATGCAGAAATATTTCACTTGGATTAAAAAAAATAACAAAATTCATATTAACCTTTTTTTTGAAATTAATTAAAACCTTAGACCTTAATAATGTTATTGAAGTTTCGAATTTTGGGTATTCACCTTCTAATTATCAACTTCAAAATTTAAAGCTTCCAGGCTATAATCAAGGTGTTTTAATTTCTTTTGATACAAATACAGTTGAGTATGATTCCTTTTTATTATTTAAATTGGATGGGTCAGAGATTACTACTTTTAGTTATCCAATTTATGGTGATTTAAACCAAACAACATTCTTGGTTCCAATGGGAAATTTTGATGCAGTTGCTCCAACCGAAATATATTCTCAAAATAAAGACTCATTGAATTTAGTAAACAGTATAAATAGTCCAATTATTAACCAATGTAATTATTTCTAATTAATTTTTAACCATTATTTTATTTAACATCTAACAATCTTATATTATATATAACTATCTAGATTATTTTGATCCTAATGCACAGATTGAAGATGATGGTTTTCTTAACAACACCATTGAAGACAAACCAATAGTATCGGTGGAATTTTCTGGTAAATCTAAATACCTTTTAACCAATTTTATAATTAGACTATCCGAATATGCTTCATTTTCAAAACCTTTCCCATATGGATTTGTTGGTGGGAATAGTAATTCTTTTGTTTATAGAATTGGTTTTTTGGTCTTTTATAAAGATATAGCTCCTAGAATAATATTTATAAAATCGGATCTTAATATCCCAGGTCAAGTTTTAAGATCATATGATAACATTAATGAAAATATTGGAGGTAAATATTAATAGTAATTATATAAATAGTTTAATAGTAAGTTTGTAAACACTAATATTTTTAAAGATGATTCAAAACCACCAATTATTTATAGTATTGAAAAGCTTCATATTATATCAAATTTATATAAATATACAATCAAAGCAGAAATTCCAAATGGTTTCTTTAATTTTAGAGGAGGTTCAACATCTTTGGGCGCTGAAACATTGGTATCTGGTACTTTTGAAAATGGGATTTTCGAATTTGTAGCTTCACCAAATATTTTCCCAATTAATATATATGACAACATTGGATTAAATTTAGAAATTTCAGATTCAATGGTAGTTAATATAAATCCAATTGAAATTTTCGAAGTGCCACTCAGTGATAATAGTACGTATTTAATGACCACATCTTTTTTTTTTTAATAGTTGATATCTTTAACACAATTCTAATGTTTTCTTTTTTTAATAGTTGATATTTATTCCATTCAAAATGTATCATTTTTATATAATGATATTAATGTAACAGATACAAGAGTATATAATGTTTTATATTTTAGCTATAACTCTTTGGTTCCAAAAGATACAGTATTTGTGTTGGTTCCATTGGGAGGTGTAATTCAAGATGTAGCAAATCCCATTAACTCATCTAATGAAAATATGTTTTATTCATCATACAACTATCAAAAGAACTCATTTGAAATAGAGTTTTATATCGAAGAAAATTCCCAAGTGGGTGATTTCCAATTCAATCTAGTGTATGGAAAAAAGATTCTACATTCAAAAACTCTTCCTTCCCAATTAAAAGTAAAGAGCTCTAGTATGTATATTAATTTTTTAATTATAATAATATTAAATTTATTTGTTTATTTTTACTAATTTTAAAATATTTAAAACAGAAATGGATTTAAGAGGTCCTGTAATAAAAAGCTTCAAGTCTTTTGGTCCAAATATAGATTCAGTAAAAACAACTGATTATATAGTATATTCATTCTCAGTTAGCGATCCAATAAATGGTTTTAGCAATGGTTATTTTACAGTTAGAGGTGATTCTGATCTTTCCACCTACAACCTAACATTTACAATTAAAGATGTTTTACCAGGTGGCGACAATTATTTGGGTAATTATGAACTCAAGTTTAAAGTTTCATATCCATGTATATCCCAGGATTTTGTTATTACAGAAGCTGCATTATACGATACAATGAATAAAAAATCATTCTTCTCAATCTTTTCATCCAGTGGAATTTATTCATCGGTAATGAATCCATTTGCTGATCTTTTAAACCCTGATACTGCATTTAATGTAATTAGAGCCTCCTGTGTAGCCGACCCAGATGCAATCACGGACACCAAACCACCAGTTTTAGTAACATTCCAACCATCAACTTTATTAATTGATACCAGTAAAGCCAGTAGAGAATTAACAATTAAATTTAGTGCATCAGATGAAGAAAGTGGTATTAAAGATAACCAGTATCCAATAGTTTATTTAACTACCGCAGGAAATATAGTTACTGAATGCAAATCCAACATTATACTCATTACCCCAATTGTAGATACACCTTTTGGTAACACTATAGACTATTCATGTACAATTCAACTACCTTTAGGCTTTGCATACCCAACTGGATTTGCATTGTCAGTTTATGGTCTAATTAATAACAATGGATATCACAGTGGTTATTCAAGTAATGACTTATCATATCACTCTTTCCCATATTTTGTAGAAACATCATTTAGTACAAATGATCCAAATTTAGAAAGTTATCATAGAGTTTCAGAAAAAGGTGGAGATTTATGGATATTTGGAAGAGGATTTTCTGAACCACTTAAAGCACATATTCAATTTAACGATGGTTCAACCCAAGAGATTCAAGCATCAACTATACATCCAACAGCAATAAAGTTATCTAATGTAGCAGCAACTAGTACACCCTATGAACTATATATCACAAGTAATTCGATTGTATCAAATACTATAATAATCGCACCAACATTTTTTGGCTACACACCAGAAGATGAATCATCAGCTGAAACCCCAACCGAAACCCCAATACCTACAAATAAACCACAACAATGCTTGGGAAAACCACAATGCGGAGGTCCATCACATGGTATATGTATTGAAAATCAAGGTTGTGTTTGCTATTCACCTTGGTTTGGAAATGACTGCTCATCTCAAATTATTATAGTTGATCCCCCAAAATCGAACGATTCCTCACCATCCACTAATATTACATTACCAGGCAATAACGTCACAGCTACATACAAATCACTTATTACACTCGTATCAATTAGAGAGATTAATATTTTTGGTGATGTTCTTTACGAGAAACCATTCGAAAAATGGATATTAAAGCAAGAGGATGAAACAACCTTCATTTATACCACAACTTTGGATATCAAAAAAAGTAGCAATAAAACCGGCACTACAGACATCAAAGCAACATTAAAATGGTTTGTAAATGAAACAACTATATCGTTTGCAAATGAAAAATTTAATATCAGTAAATCATCTATGAAATACACCATCGATATTGGCGAATACCCATTCGAAAACACATTAAACCAGCTAGAACTTGTAATGTCAGCTCAAATCGAATCAAATACCAACGATACGATTTGTTCTGTTAGAGAGTTTGGTGAGACCACAAGTGGCGATAATTCAAACTATGTAAAAATTCAAGTTGACGATCACTCATTGTATGGTAGATTCATAAAAAGAGGTATCATAGACTCTTATATAAAAGCAATCTCTAATGTATTATTAGATAAAGATATGAAACCAATATCAACAACAAAATCACTACAATCTTTTATTGGTATACAAATACCCAACTTCAAACAATCTGTAGTTTTAGACCCTGATTTTTCAATTCTTTTAGATTCAAATTCAGCATCATCAAAATCAGGCTCAATATGTCCAAGCTCGAAATTAAGCGCAGGCAAAATTGCAGGTATAGCTATAGGTTGCACCGCATTTGTTACTGTAATATCAATATCAATAATTTACTCTATCATTAAGAAAAGAAATAATAAAAAATTCATTTCAAGTATAAATAATAAAATGAATGAAATGAATAATGATAAATTATAAACCAATAATAAATAAATAAATAATAAACAAATTGTAATAATAAAACAATAACAAAAGTTTAAATAAGTAGATTTATTTATTTTGCACTAATCATAATAAATATTATAAACAATTTCATTTTTAAAAAAAAAAAAGTCTTTTCTTTTATTATAAAAACCCAAAAAAATAGAATTAAAATATTTATCTCTTTTTTTATTATTAGAACCCATTAAGTGTTAAATTCTTTTTATTTTTGTTTAATAAATAAAAATAAATAAAAAAATATTATGTCTATATTCTGTGTATACCTAAATAATAAAGCTCTATTCATATCTATTTTAACAATAATAATGATTTCAGATTTATTGTGATTTAATAATATAACTTTTTTTGATGAAATTTTAACGGTGTACTCTACAATTAAGTTAAAAAAAATATTAACTTTTACTTTTATATTTTTTTTAAATTTTTAAAATTATTTTTTTTGTTCACACACACAACACACTTTTGTGTTTATATTTAAAAAAAAAAATTAATATGGTGTGTTCACCCTTTTCCTCAATACCACTATTCAACACTATTTAATTTAAAATAACTCAATATATGAAAAAAAATCAAAATCAAAAACAAATGAAAACTACCCACTCAATGGCTTTAATATATTCACAAAGAATATTAAATTATAACTTGCCCAATGATGTATTATTAGAATTACAAATGATATCAACACCACACAATTTCCTTATAAAAAAAAAATTATAATTAGTTATTCAGTTTTTTGCATAAAATATTAAATTTAATAAAAATAAATATCATATTCAATGAAAGATCACACACCCTGTATTAACCTGGAACACAGAGATACACCCATAAAAAAAAATATTATTACCTTAACTTTTAGATTTAAAATAAATAAAAAAAAAAATAAAAAAAGCCATTTTTGTTAAGAGCAGTATCCAATAAAAAATATTTTAAATATTAAGAATTTTTTATGTATATTATCTATTTTTAAATTAACAAGATCTAAAATCATACCATACGATATTTGCTCCACCCCATTAAAAAAAATCAAAAAGTTATAAAAATAAATTGACAATAATTGTTTTTATTAAATAATCGAAGTTGGACTTTTATTTTAATAATTTTTTTTTTTTTTTTTTTTTTTAAATCTTCCAAATTTAAATTCTATAAATAATTTCTTTTTTTTTTTTCTTTATTTGTGCAAAAAAAAAAAAAGCTTTTAAAAATAAAAATAAAAATAATAATTATTATAATAAATAATAAAATAAATAAAAATATAAATAAAATGACAATTTTAAGTAAGATATTTTTAAATTACTAAATATAAAATTAATTTAATTTTAATTTTAAATTTAATTACTAATTTTATTTTTTTTTATTTTTATTTATTTTTATTTTTTTATTTTTTTTATTTTTTTATTTTTTTATTTCTATAGAATCTGTAACATCTTTAATGAACTTTAATGGTAACAAATCGAAAAAAATTGATGAAAATTATTTAAATAATTTAAATTATTATAAAAACGAAATCCAATCTACAAACGCCGCAAAATGGAAACCTGTTGTTCACTTCTTTCCATCAACCCAATTTACTGCTATTGTTTAATAAAGATTTGCAAATATATAAAAATAGAAAAATAAATATTTATTTAAAAAAAAGAAATAATCATCACAATTATAATAAAAATAAACACATATTAGTTAATTTTAAATTATTTTTTTAGAAAAAAAAAAAAATAAAAAAAAAAGTAAATTTTTTTGAAATTATTTTTTTTTAATTTTTTTTTAATTTTTTATTATATTTATTTTACTTTTTTTTTTTTTTATCTATTTTTAATTTAAATAATATATTTTGTAGTAGGAGAATAATATATAAAACTACTACACTAAAAAATTTATGTAAATCATTGTATTCTTAAAATAATTTGTAATTTTTATTAATAATAATAACAATAATATTTGTATATATAAATAAATATATATTATATATTCATATAAAACCCATTTTGTTGTTTATAATTTTTTTCCTTTAAACACACCCGTAAATCTTTTTCGTTTTGTTTTTTAATTTTTTTTTGTAATTATATATATATTTAAATAAAAAAAATAATAAAAAAAAATGTCAACATTACATAATAATAGCGATGGTGATAAAAAATCGAATGATACAATAAAGCCAACATCAACAGCATCTACAACCACCTCTTCTGCGACATCCACAACTTCATCAACATCTGCAACTAAACCTTCAGATGTTAGTCACAGTACAATGAGTAGTGGTGCAACATTAACAAAAAATAAATCAAGTATAACCTCAACCGCAACAACTGTAAAAAAAACACCAACAACATTATCTTCATCAACAAATAAAACAAAAACATCAACACCATCAGCATTAAAGTCAGTATTATCATCAAACTCGTCACTTTCAAATACATTTCCTGGTCCAAGAAAATCAACATCTTCAGGAACAACATCTACAACATCATCAAATAGCGCATCAAGTACAATGACAACAAAAAAATTAACTGATAAATTATCGACACCAACACTATCATCCTCGATGAAAAATAAAAAGCCAATATCATCACTATCAAAACCAACAGCTGCATCATCCCTAAAACAAAATACTTCATCAACAGCACCAGCACCAACATCTTCATCCACTGACAGAAAGAGTTTAACAACATCAGGTTCAGCACTTAAACCTCCAATTAGTACCTCAGCTACCAGTAGTAATTCGTCAACAAGCAAACTACCAACACCATCAGTTTCACCAACCCCACCATCAACAACTAAAAATACACCATCAGATTCTTCACCAACATTAAGTTCTTCAAATTTATCAGATAAAACATTAAATACAACAGCGCCAACAAACATAAAAGATAAAGTACATTCAACATTAACAACCAAAGATTTACATACAACCAAAGATACACATACAGCAACATCAACAACAGCAACATCATCTAGCAGTGGTAAATTAACATCATCACTTCACAAACCAACACCAAGTCCATCAAAGAGACCAATAACTACAACATCAACTACAAGTGGTAGAATATCATTATTAAGTCCAAGCAGACCAACAGGATCCAATTTGTCATCAACAACATCAACACCAAATGGCAAACCAGTAGCACCAAGGGATAGTTTAACAAATAAGGATCCAACCCAACTACGTGATACCATTAGAACACTTCAAAGAGAAAGAGAAGATTTAATGAATAAAAACCATGACCTTCAAAACAAAATAATAGATTCTGACTCAAAACTTTACAATTTAGATGCGACATTAGAGAAACTTAAAATCGATTTAAAGACTGTTACATTAGAAAGAGATACTCATAAACAAAAAGTGGTACGTTTAGAAAATCAATTAAAGAGCGAAATTGACGACCTCACAAGAAAGCTTGAAGAATCTGATGCCAAATTTGAATTTTCAAATGAAAGATATAGCCAAATGTTAACACGTTATCAACAATCTCTTAATACCATGGATGAAATGAAAAATAAATTTAGAGATTCAATTATATCACAAAAACAAGAGTATATAAATATTCAAAATAAATTAGAAAGTGCAAATAAAAAAATTGAAGAATTAGAATCAAATTTAAAAAACAGTACAAATAGTTTTACTAGTAGTAACAGTAGTAGCGGTAATGAAAAAATTTCACCTCCTCAACAAACAAAGCAATTACAACAACCACAACAACCACAACAACCACAACAACTACAACCACAACCACAACCTCAACCAACTCAACAACAACCAAATCAAAACCTAAATTTAAATAATGTAGATAATAATAAATTAAATAACCCATCACCATCACCATTAAACAAAAATATTCATAACAATTTTATAGTTTCACAGGAATCAATTAATAATAATAATAGCTTAGGTGAAACATCCAATGCAACCTCAACCATTATTAGATCCATTAAGTTTAAAATCCAATTCACCACAAGTACAACATAATAATCAACACCCACAAATTCAAATGCAACCACCCCAACTTCAAACTGTTTCAACTACATCCCAACCACTTTTTACAAACAATCCCAATAGCTCATTAAAAACGATACCACCAACACAACAAAACCAATTACAAAACCAACAACAAAACCAACAACAACAACAACCAATAAAATCAAATCCAATTCAAATTAATAATAATCAGCAACCACAACAACCTCAACAACAACAATCTAAAGAAAGTACAACACCAAATGGTAAATCTGGGATTTTTTCAGGATGGTTCTAAATTATATAATTTATAAATAAAATATTAAAATATAACTATTTTAATTTTATTAAATTTTTTTTTTTACAAATTAATATTATTTACATTTATTGCAAAAACTATATTAAGGGGTATAGCTTTACTTTTTGAATAAATTGATTTGAAGAAAAAAATTTATTTAAGTTTTAATAAAAATAAACTTTTTTTTTTAAAAAATTTATATTTTAGTTTATTAATCTTTTATAATACACCGACGAGTCTATTGGCGATAGCAGGTCTTTTTCATAGTTTTTAATTAAATCTGGGAATAATAATACATCTTGTTTGGAATCTATACCATAATAGAACAATATTCCTTTTAATGAATTGTTGTTTCCTATAGAGTCTAATAGATCTTGAACATTTTTTAATAGATCTTCTGGTGGTTCTAGCGGTCCATTATATGAAATTGATAGATATTCTATATTGCATTCCAAGCTATTTAGGGCTTGGTTAAATAAAACCTTTAGCATCCTAATACTATTGATTATAGCATCTTTTTCAAATATAAAGTTTAAATATTTAATTGAATTATTTTTTTTAAAAAATTGTGCTAAATTCTCCACACTATCGTTATTATATAAAGTTGTTGTGAAATCTAAATCTTGAATTTTAATAGATAGCTGAACTAAATTTGGTGGTAAGGTTAGTTGAAAAAAATCTAATTCTAAATTATCTGTACAAAAAGCTAAAGATTCGAGTTCTTTTAGATTTTTACTTAGATCACCTAAAAATTCATTTTTTGCTAATATATTATAGTTGAAATGCTTGATTTTAGGATTTCTTGATGAAAATCCATCCATATGGTAATGAAAGTACTCGATCTCTAATTCGGACTGAAAGGTAATTTCTTTAATTGTATTAAAATCTCTTAAATTAAATATTGGTCTACCAAAAGTGTGATGACAGGTGGCCCCAAGAAATAAGGTCTCTACCGAAAATAGGTCTTCTAAAACATATGAAAAATGAGTTAAATGTGCTTGATCGAGTATATAAAGTTTCTTTAATGTTTTTTTGCAGTATGTAATAATTTTTAATGCTTTGGTTGAAAAAGAATGGTCACGATAGCTTGTATTAGGGTTGATCCATACAGCTATTGTTTCGATATTTAAATTTGAATTTGAAATTGGACGGAATGTATCTTCAAATATTTTTTCTAACTCGCCAAAAAACAAAAAACTGAATATGAAAGCTGTTGATCTATCTCCAATATTATTAATAATATCCATATCAAGCTCTATTGCTTCATCTAGTGTGTATTCAATTTGACATTGTTTTACATCTTTGAATAGGTTTTTAAATCTAACTACCCCCATTTTTTCATAAATATTTTTAAAATAATAATAATTTTTTTGAATTTTATTAATAGTTTGATAGTTTTCTTCAAATAAATTGATATTATTATTATTATTATTATTATTACTATTATTGTTATTACAATTTTCACGATTATTTAATAGTTTTAAATTAATTTCATAATTATTGTTATTGTTTTCTTTATCCTCTAACTCTTCTTTAAAATGTAAATAAAACGAATTTGATGAAATTTGAAAGGGAAAAGAGGTTGCTATAATTCTAAAAAAATTCTTTGAAACAAACATTAAGTTTATCTTCCATTTGTATATTGGGTTTGGTTTTGAGATGAGATTGTATTCTTCTGTATAGCTGTAAATTGTTTCGACATTCTCATTTAAAAGCGGGCACCAGAAAAATTCTTTTTGAATATTTTCATCAAATTCCCAACAATGTTTTAAAATTAATTTAAATATTATATTATTTGTTATTACTTGCATTTATTTTTAATGGTAGGCAGAAGTTTTGATTTTTTTTTTTTGATTTTTTTGTTAAACCTTTAAATGTTTGAGAAAGGGATTTCTTCCTTTTTTTTTTTTTTAATTTTTTTAAAAAAAAAATTTTGAAAAAAAGTGGTTTTTTTTTATATTTTTTTAAAAAAATTTTAGATTATTTTTTTCATTTTTTTTATTTAAATAATAATATATTTATATTATTTCTCTTCGGATCATTGTGTCAATATATTTGAACAAATAGCAACAATAATGTTTTAACAATACTCCTGAATCAATTTTATCAAAAAAAGAATTAGAGCGTCAAAGGGAATCTAAATTTAATGATGGTAAAGGTGGTTTTATTACAAAATTTTTGAAAACTCCAAGAGTAATACAATTTTTGCTCAACAAAAATGGTTATCGATCCACAACGAAATGACCAAAGATCAAGAACATACCCGCTCCTTTTACTTAACTTTTATTTTTAAAAAAAAAAAAAAAAAAAAATTTAATTTTTTTTATTTTTTTGAATTTTTTAATTTTTTTTAAAAATTTTTTTTTTTTTTTGTGAAGTCAAAAAAATTGGGATAATGAATTTCTTCTAAACTCAAGAATTTTAAGACATTGTTTCACCTTTGGCAAAAGATATTTTTAAAAGTTATTTATAATAATAGACTTGATAAGGGTTAAAATTTTTTTTTTTTTTTTTTACAAAATTGTGTTTTTTATTATTAAATATTTAAATTTTTAATAATAAAATAAATAAAATTTAAATAAATATTTTTTTTTAATATTTTTTTGGGGTCTGTTGATAATTATATTTAAACAAACATGAAATCTACCTTAATAAAGGTTTATTATTGTAAAGTTACAGCATGATTGCCACTAGATGTACACAAAGAGTTACACCATCTAACCAAACCAATTTTACCATTATAAATACAAACTCATCAGATTTATGTTTTCATGGATTGTAAAAAAAGAGGGTGTATTAATTTTTTTTCAATATTAATTTTTAATGGCTATAAAAAAAAAAAAATAAAAAAAAAAAAAAAAAAAAAACTGTTTTTGGAAAATATTTGAATTATTATAAAATTTGGGAAAAAAACCAAATTTTTCCATAAAAAAATTCTAATAAACAATACCAAAAAAAATCATAATCACTTCGCAGTTAGTAATTTACAATTTCTTTTTAATTTTAATTTTATTTTATTTTATTTTTATTTTATTTATATTTTAATTTTATTTTATTTTAATTTTTAAAATAATAGATATTTTTGATTGCCTTGTTTATTGCCCAATAAACAAAAAAAAAAAAAACCCATGAAAACAAGTGATGATAGAATGTTGTCAATCTTTTTTCTTTATTTTTTGGGATTGAAAAACTATATATAATTTAAAAAATTTTTCTATATTCAAAATATTTATTTTATTTTTTTTTAAACAATGAAAAAGTATATTTTATTAATATTTATTTCTACAGTTTTAAACTGTTGTTTAGGTGGTCAGTTTTTTGGAAATATTTCAAATGATCTAAAAAACCTTAAACCAACATCAAAAGCTTTTGGTTATTTTCTTAATTTAGAAAACATTAATGAATTCTACTTTTCATATCAAGATTTTAATGAAAATTTTACATACACCGGTTGTATTATAGATTATTATAAACCAGGAGGAAAATTTAATAACTTTAAACCATGGATGATAGTAAATTCTACAAAATGCAAGTTATTAAAATATAATTATAATATTACAAGATTTATTTATTTCTTATATTAAAATATTTAAATTATTATATAGTGTTTTTATGGGATAAAGATTTACAATTCGCCGAGTATGATCCAGAATTAAGAACGGTTAGGGAAATCGAAATACCATCAGCTTTATTAGATCTTAAAAGCCTAGATATTAAAAATAAGTTTTATGATGACGAATTAAATTTATTACTTATGACCACAGTAAATAATTCTATTTATGTATATAGTTTTGAAAAAAATTCACAGTAGGTATTTTATAAATAGAGTTTATAAACACTTTATACTAATATAATTTTTTTATAGTTATTCATTTTATGTTGATTTTGATAATACAACTGAATCAACTAGTTTAAAAGATGCTTATTATGATATCAAAGAGAAAGTATTTGTATTTTCAAAAACATTGCCATTGCAAGTATTTAGATTAGATGTTTTAAAAAACACAACTGAAATGTTTAATATCAAAGGTGTATTTATTGGTCAAAATTTAAAAAGCTATGTGTCATCTTATAAAAACCAATTTGTTTTTTTAGGAAAGAATGAAACTAATCCAGTTATGATGTTATACCAATTCAATACAAATACCAAATCATTAGAACTTTTATTCCAAACCGATAAAAAAGTAAAATATAGTAGTATTAATTTGGTTAGAGGTTTGAACCCACGTTTTGTTTATTTCAGTAATATTAATACTAATGCAGAGGGTTACTTGTTTGATTTAGAAACAAAAACTATAGAATCTTTCAACACAATTAAAAAAAACCGCCATTATGAATACAGTATAACAAGCGAAGTTTCTAACGAATTTTTAACCTCAATAGTCCCAAATTTCCGTTATGTACCTGTAGCTTATGACTCTTCATATTATTATGAATATGTAAACACCGCATTATCGGTCAATAGTTTTAATCTTTCATTAGGATTTATTATATTACTATCATCATTATTATTTATTTAAATTTTTAATAAACTATAATCAATTATTTTACTTCCAATCTTTTTATTTTTTTACAGATAATTTGAGGTACTATTAAAGGAATTTTTAATTGATCCAACAAAGAACCAAAAAAAATTAATCAATAAAAATTATTTTTATTATCATTTTGTCTTTAAATAATAGTTAATTTTTGAAAATGTTAATTAACATGGTAATATTTTACTTTATTAATTTATTTATGTTTTTTTTTTCCTAATTAAAAATAACCTTTTCGACATTTTTAGTGCATGGGCAATGGTTATATTGACAAGTTGTAGCAGCTTTAACTTCCTTATTTATGAAAAGCATACCACTACCTGAGCCACCTGAACCACCTGAACCACCTGAACCACTACCACTTCCTGAAGCACTTGCGCTTGCTGAACCTGAGCAACCACTGCCACTTCCTGAAGCACAACTACCTGATGATGAAGATGGACCTGATGAAGATGGGCCTGATGAAGATGGACCATGGCTGGATGAAGCATGACTTGGGGTTGGTGGAGCATTACATGGTCTTACCATTTTTGGGCAGTTACAAGTACTATTTTAAATTTAAAAAAAAAAAAAGTTAAAATATTAATACAAAAAAAAAAAATAACGAGGTAGTTTAATTTGAAATATTATTTTCTTACCAAGTATTAGTATCGCAAGTAACAACTTGTTTTGTAGCTAAAACATCACATCTTTCTTGACAAACTTCGAAACTATAAAAAATTAAATTAATACCAAAATTATAAATTAATATATAATAAAATACTTACTTTGGAGCATCAATATTTAAAACAGATCCATCATGCATTTCGCATGTGCATCTACTTTTTTTTGAAGCAACAACATTTAATAAACACAAAGCAACTAAAAATAAAGTGAAAACAAATAATTTATTCATTTTTTTATAATAAACAGATAGATGGCATATAACAAAAATTAAAATAAAAAGTGACACAATCAAAATTTATTGATTTTTTTTTTTTTTTTTTTTTTGTGATGAAAAATTTTTTTCTTTTTAATTTCCCACAAGATATTTTGTGAACCTGGTTGATACCAATTTTTTTTTCGAACAGTCGGTATGAAAAACTCTTGGTTTTAAATTTCCTACTCCTTAATTAATAACATACCCTCTAATGATTACATTTTGGTTCAATATAGGGATTTTTGGAAATTTAATTTTTTTTTATTTTTTTTATTTTTTTTTTTGGATATTTATTTATTCACAATTTTTTTTATTTATCTTATCATTAAATATTTTTTTCTTTTTAAAAAAATATTTATTTCTTAAAAACAAATATTTTATAAAAACCTTTTTTTTATTTTTTTTTTATTATTTTTATTTTTTTATTTTTTTTAATTTAATTTATTCAAATGTTTATTCAAATAATACTCTTTTTATTTATATATAATATATCTAAATTTCTTTATATATAATATATTTCGAAATTTAAAAATAAATTTATTATTATTTATTTTTAAAATTTTCATAAAAATAGTATTTTTTTTATTTAATAGATTTATTATAAACAATATGCTATCTCGTTACTTCAAACGAAAATAATTGAATTAAATAACAGATATTTGAAAAAAATCAATATAAAATTATATTTTATTTTATTTATTTTATTTTTTTTAAAAAAAATTTTTTTAATTTTTTTTTTATAGTTTTTTTTTTTTTTTTTTAATTTTTTTTTCTTTAGCATTTTAGAAATTGTAGTTTTTTTTTTTTTAACCAAAAGGTGTTAATAATTAAATAATATACATATAATATACATATATAAAATTTTCATAGTATAATTGTGTGAAATTAATTTTTTTTAGATTCTATTTATATCTTAAACACACAAAAAAAAAATAAAAATAAAAAAAAAAATAAAAAAAAAAAAAAAAAAAAATCTTTATAATTAATTTTTTTCAAAATTATTAATAAATAAATAATAATAATAATAACTAAAAATTATATAATAGTATAATAGTAAAATAATATAATAAAAATACAAACAAATAATTTTTTTTGTTGTAAAATTTTTTTTCTTTTTTTATTTTATTTTATTTGATTTGATTTTTTAAAAATAATTTTTATAAAAAATATAGTTAAATAAAAAAATGATAACAATAAAAGAAGAATTAGAGAATTATTCATTCTCTAAATATTTTTCAAGATTTTATTATTATTTTAAAAGTCATTCATCATCAAATAATAATAATGTCAATAAAAAAACCATTAGTAGTAACAAAGAAAACGAAAATGGGGCTAATAACAATAATAGTAATAATAAAAAATCACCCTCACTATTAAGAGATAGTGGTAATAATAACATTAATGAAGACGACGACTCAACTGCCACATTACTAAAAAATAGCAATGGGTGTTGTGGCGATCATAATAAAGAAAGCATAATAAAAAAAACCAAATACTCACTAAATAACTACAGCGATACACCAGATCATTTAAGAAGACCATTTATATTGGAGGGATACAGAGTGGATTTTTCTTATTGGTTAGCATTCAAATCTATATTTATATTTGGTCATAATGACATTTCAAATATTTACAGTCATTTGATACCAGCAATTTATTTTATATATACACTCTATGGAATTTTAGTAAAAAACAATTATAATATCACAGAAACACCAGATAAAGTTATGTTTGGTATATTTTTAGGCTCTGCTATTTGTACATTTATTTGCTCAGTGTTGTATCATACATTTGGATGCCATTCATATAGCACTTATAAAAAGTTATTACTCTGCGATTATTTGGGTATTGTATTGCTTATTGGCTCATCTTTTTACCCATCGCTCTTTTACACATACAAATGTCATGCGAACTTGATGGTGCTCTACTTGTTTACAATTACTTTTCTTTGCTTTTCTTTATGTGCTTTAATATTTGTGCCAAGATTCCAGGAGCTTCATACACTTAGAAATAGTTTGTTCTGTGCCACAGCTCTCTTTGGTGTTTTCCCAGCTATACACACTTTCTTTATTTTCGACTACTCTCTTTCATTCCAGTTCATCAAGAGAATAATTACAATGTTTTTAATTTTTGGCTTGGGTTTATTCTTTTATATTTATAAAATTCCAGAATCAATTTGGCCAAAAGCTGGCTTATATCACAGTTCTCATAGTTTTTGGCACTGGTTTACCGCATTGGGTCCACTCTACCATTTAGATACCTGCCTATTGTTATTTGAGCAAGTTGCCACTATCACATGTCCTATTTAACTGTAAAAAAAAAAAAAAGATATATAAAGTCTTTTTTTTAAGATTTTTTTTTTTTTTTAGAATTTTTAATAAATAAATAAAAAATTATGTATAAATAATATTATATATAATTATTAAAAGTTTTTAAGAAAACATTTCATTTTTTATTTACAATTTTATTTTTTTATTATTAAAACTTTTTTTAAAAAATATGGTGATTAATCTAAAAACAGAAAATTTATTTTATATTTAAATAATTTAAATTTATTTTAAAAAAGGTTTATATAATAAATATATTGGAATATTATTTATTTAAATGAGATGTGCCATGTTGTTGTGCTGTAAGGTGATTATTAAAAAAAGTACTATTATTATTGTTGTTGTTATTATTACCAATAGTATTATTGGTGTTATTAAAAGTTGTAGTATTATTTATATTATTATTAAAATTTGTAGTAGTAGCAGTATTATTATTATTTGATGGGGTTGAAGATGATGCATAAATTTGATGAACTCTCATATGTTCTTTCCACATTAAAGATTGATGTTCTTTTGAACAGAAATAAGTAGCAAAACCAGTTTTAGCACAATTATAACATTCGAGCATTGACTCTTCGCCACAATAACAACATGGACGTTGTGGTGGTGCAGAGTGTTTATATTTTTCTAAAATAATATCTCTTGCTCTTTGTTTATCTCTGTCAAATTGTTCTTGTTGTTGTAATTGCTTTTGTTGTTGAATATATAAATTTTGTTGTGGAGTAGCAGTATTGTTGGATGAAGCAGTGTTTGATGATGGTGAACCAAATGATTGGAATTGTTGTTGAGAAACTTGTTGATGATATTGTTGTTGAAGTGATGATAAACTATTGTTATTAGAGTTATATTGTTGAGTGGAGTACATTGATGAGGGTGATGAAGCAGTGGCGGCTGTTGTTGGTGTAGTGGTGGTTGATGGGGCAGAGAGATTATTTTGGAATATGGAATTTGATAAGAAAATATTATTAAAATCTGTGCCGAATAATGATGGAGTTGATAATGAAGAGTTGGTTGAATCTAAATAATTAACCCAGCTTGGTGACCAATTATATGGGTCACTTGAATATGAATTATCAGTTTTACCACCAAATAACGAACTTTCCCAATTATTTGAAAAAAGATTAAAATTATAATTTGAAATTGAATTTTTATCTTGATTTTGTTGTTGGGCTTGTTGAATTTGTTGTTGTTGTTGTTGCATTTGTTGAATCTGTTGTTGTTGTTGAGCCTGTACTTGTTGTTGAGCCTGTGCTTGTTGTTGCTTTTTATTTTGTTTCTTTGGTGAGGGTGTTGGTGTATTATTATTATTTGCTTTAGTAGTATTGACTGGTTGTGGTACTGCTTGACCTGCTATTATTGATGCTGTTGATGTTGGTATGCTATTATTTATAGTTTGAATAATTGGTTGGTTTGGTGAAACATTTGAAGAGTTTGAGGAAGTGGATGATGATGGTGATAATGGTCCATTGCTATGTTTTGATGTTTTAACTTTAGCGATAGTTCCAAGTGGTGGAAATTCATTTGAAAGTGGTGGAAACTCATCTTCATAATACTCTGGGGCTGCGGGAGGCTTTTCACCAATCATTGATGGTGAAATAGCACCAGTTGCAATTGCTGAAAATGGTAATGGAGTTAAAGATGATGGACTTTGTGTGACACTTGCGATAGTTGCTGCTGCTGTAATAACTGCTGGAGAAGAGGTATGTAAAGAAATTGGTGTTTGATTATTTGATGATAAAATTGGTGATGATGGTTCAATTAAATTTGATGATGATGATAATGATGGTGAAAGTGGTGTTTGAATTGCTGCTGTTGATGATGATGAGGATGAAGATGAGGATGATGATGAGGATGTGGTTGAGGTTATTATTGTTGGTACTGTTGCTGTTACTGAACTATTATTTGTAATATTGCTATTAACATTATTATTTGTTAAAACTGTTAATTTTGAATTTGTTGGATCAGGTTGAATTGATAATTTTGTACTTTCTTTTTTATTTTTATCATTTGTTTGAACTGATAATTTTTTACTTGAAGATTTTGATTTTGGAGTTGACCATTCATCTATATTTGTATTTGGAGATTCACACATAACACAAGTATAACCTTCTTCTTCATTAATAAAAGTACAAACTAAACATCTCCATTGACCTGGTTGTAACTCAACACCATCCTCGCTAGTATTAACATTACTATCATTTACTAAACTACCATTATTATTACTATTATTTATATTATTACTACTATTATTATTATTATTATTATTATTACCATTACCATTACTATATAAACTGTTTGTATTCTCTATATTATTTGTATTACTTAATAAACTATTACTACTATTACTATTACTATTTGAAATTGAATTACTTATATTACCACTATTTTCTAAATTATTGCTACTATTACTACTATCAGAATTTACTGAATGATTTTGTTGATTCTCTAACTTTTCAGTGTACTCTTCATAATAAGCATCCCATAATGGTGAACCTAATTGAGATAAACGAGTTCCTAATTTTTCGATTTTTAATAATATACGATTTAATTGATCCAATAGTTTCTCTCTATTGGTTTCACTAATTACTGGTTTACTATCAGATACCATAACTTCTGGGCCAACTGATGAACCTCTTGTTGAAGTTAACTTTTCAGTATGCGTTATAAATGGCATATCTTCTACATATTCTATTGCTTCTACGACTTGTAAATGAAATCTCATTATTGTTTTTTGAGCACTTGTAAGCTTTGATGCAATTTTTTCATCTAAAAATGTTGGATTATCGATTAAATCTCTTGAACTTTTTTGTGGTATTTTAAAATCTTTAAATTCATGTATACCTATATTAATTTTACTGTTAGAATTGCTTTTAATTTGATAAAAAAAATGTGACATAGTTACTACTTACTATCTTTTATTTTTTGTAATCTATCTTTTACATGTCTTAATTTACAATGTTTTTCTAAAAGACTAAAAACTTGTTCATCAGTTAATTCCTCATCTTCTTTGGGTAAAAGTAAACTCCATTCATTCCATATACATGTAATAACCTCTTCAATCTATTTTTTTAAAAGTATAAAAAAAAAAAAAAAAAAAAATTAGTAAGCATGTTTTTTAAAATAGGGCGGTAAATATTTTTATAATAAAATTTGATACCCACATCCATCTCTACAAGTTTACCTTTTCTCTTGGCTTGACATGATCTATTCTTTAAATTTCTATCACCTAAAACTATTAAACAATCAGCTTTTGATCCAGTAATAATTTCAGCTAAATTTTCGGTTTTAATTGATTGGCCGTTTTCTTCAGTTTTTAAATATACATCTACACCCCTATCTAAAAATTGATTTTGAACTTCTCTTGCAAATCTCATTACTCTTGAATCTGAAGCATATAAAACAACCATTTGTAAAAAGGGTCTTCTACCTGCCATTCTACTTGGGTTTGATCTTGTGGCAAACGATATAAACTCTTCAGAATCTTCCAAAGATAAATTACTTATATTTAAACTATTTAAACTATTACTATTATTCGTATTATTACTATTATTTATAACTGGAACTATATCTATCTTATTACCACTACTATTTAAATTGGTTGTGGAGGCTGGCTGTATATTATTATTATTATTATTGTTGTTACTATTATCTTTTTTATTGGTCGATAGAGGAACTGTTGATTTTTCATCTGCTGTTGATGAAGATGATGCAGTTTTAGCAGTGTATGTTATATTACCACCATTATTTGACGATGATGATGTACCACCTGTTGAGCTATATGAATGCGAAAACCTACATGAATCTCCTAGCTTACAGGTTCCAGATTTAAAATATTTACAAATAACAGGATATCTCCCACTACCACTGCTAATATTTGATGTTGACCATTCCTGTTTAGACATACTTTATTATTATTTTACTACTATTATTATTGTTGTTATTATATTTATTATTTCTATTTATCTTTTTTTTTAAAATCATTAGTGTATTTTACACAATGTGTATATCACCCCTTTATCTTTATTTTTTTTCTACTACTTGTTTTTTTTTTTTTGTGTGTTTTTTGGATTTTTATTTAATTTTATTTATTTATTTTAAATCGTTTTAATTTATTTATAAAAGTTTAATAAAATCTACTTGAATTTGAACACAGCTGTGAAATGATATTTTTTTAATAAATTGAATTTCTTTAACTAAGTTTTATTTTTTTGTTTTTATAACTATTATTACTGTTTTAATAAAAAAAAAAAAGAACTTATCGAAATACTACAAATATTTATTGGATTGTATCTATTAACTATTGTTTTGAATGAAAAATATTTTATTTTTTTTTAAAACAAATTGTGCGAAATAAAAAAAAAAAATTTTAGAAAAAAATTAAAATAAAAAAAACGAAAAAAAAAAAAAAAAAAAAAAGAAACAAAAAAACTTTTTTTTTTTTTTTATTTTTTATTTATTTTTTATATTTTATGAAAAACTTAATTAAAGATAGTTCTATATCTTTTTTAATCTCTATTTTCCTTTCTCTCCTATCACACAACTAAATAATGTTTTTATTAAATAAAATAAAAAAAGAAATTTTTTTAATGTTTGATATTGAAATACGAGTTTTATTTGTTATTATTATTGTTATTAGTGTATTCAATATTTGCATGCACACCCCCACACGGCCACATGAAAAAACACCCAGATAACTTCTTTTCAAAATTTTGAAATAAAAAAAAAAAAAAATAAAAAAAAAAACTGAACCACATACTTTCACACAAATAATATCTCTGTATTATTTAAATAATAATAATGAAAAATAAAAATAATAAAAATAATAGTAGTAGCAATTTGATTTTACATATTAAATTTTCAGCGAAAACTTTAAATAATTTATTTTTTTTTGGATTTTTAATTTATTTTATTATAATGTAGCAAGGTGTGGGTGTGGGTTGGTGTTTTGTTTTGTTTTGTTTTTATTTAATATCTTGATATTGTTGCTATTTTTATTTTTTTTCTTTTATAACATAAAAATATTATTGTTATTATTATTATAATGTAATATTTTGGTTTAGGGTATGTGGTTGTTTTTGTTTTGAATGATTTTGTTGTTGCGATTGTTGTTGTTGTTGTGATTGTTGTAATTCTGCAGATGGTTTAACGGTTAATTCTCTTTCTTTTTGTAGTGCTTTTTCCACTTTTTCATTAAGTTGTATTTGATATTGTTTTTTCTTTTCTTTTAAATTTTTAGCTTTATCATTTAATCTATTCATTCTATCTTGCGAGTTTATCATTTCCCTTTTTAATGTTTGAATTTTAATTAAATATTCTTGAATTTTTTTAAACTAAAAAAAAAAAAAAATAATAATTTGTAATTGATTATTAGAAATCGTTATTATTATGGTTTTTTTTGATATTTTAAATATATATAACTGAATATTTACATTTTCTACAATTATATCTACATTTTTTACATTTTGGATTTTTATATTTTCATTTTTTAATTCGTTTAATAATAATAATTGTTCTTTCCTAAAAATAATAAAATATTAGAATAAAAAGGAAAAATAAAAAAAGAATTGTTATTATTATTATTATAAAACATACTGTAATTCATTTAATTTAAGGGTGATTGCATCTAATGGTATTTTAGATAACAATAAGAGACCCTCTGTTAAGTCAGGAACACATAATGAAATTGCATCTTTATTACTTAATTTATTTATATTATCACTATTTTCTATTTTATTTACATTATTATTATTGCTATTTACAGTATTATTATTTTCATTTATTGATATATTATTGTTGTTATTTTCATCCATATCTGTATATTTTTGTCACTATGATATATTTAAACAAAAATAATTTTAAAAAAAAATTTTAAAAAAAAAAAATAAAAAAAAAATGAAAATTAAAAAAAAATTAAAATAAAAAAAAATAAATTATTATTTTTCATTTTATTTTTCTTTTTATTTCAAAATTTTTTTGTTTTTATTTTTTTTTTTCGATTTTTGCATTTTCAAATTTGAGTAATTCATATGCAAAAAAAAATAATGTGTAATGATCTGATTTCATATTTAATATGAACTTTATAAATTTTCATACAATAAAAAATAATAACAATAATAGTAATAATAGCAATAATAATGATATTTTATTTTTCAGTATTTGGAAAATTGATTTTCTGAAACAAAAGATATTAAAATCGATAAAAGAGTTAAATAGATTTAAAAAGTCATATTCATATTACCAGCTTTCAAATTTATCATGGTTATTAAAAAACAATCATATAAATTTAATTAAAGATAAATTAAATAAATATAAAAAAAATAAAATAACAAATAATTATGATTTTAATAATAAAATATATTTTCAAATCGATAATAAATCATTGGTTTTAATTTGTAGCATTAAGGATGATCAAATATTTGAAAGTTTTATAGAATATTGGTATGATAATCATAAAGTATATTATAATGGCAGCAGTAGAAGCAATAATGAAATCCAAACAGAATTAAAGGGAATGGGTAATGGATATCAAGAACCTGGTTTTATTGGTGATAGTAGTGGTGGGAAAAATGAAAATGCAGTTTTTAAAAGGCCATTTTATGTAGATCAACAAGAAGAGTTGTTTAATTTCAAATCGTCAATACTTAATATTTTACAGGGTATTTTTAATTCAAAGAGTGCATCAAGATTGAAATGCTTCATAGAGAACCCATGTTTTGGTAGAGAGGGTCTAGATATTTTGGAAACTATATTTTCAAGTTTGCATTGGAGCTCATATTTCATATCAGCAAATTGTTTAAGGTTTTTGATTGGTGGCCGTTATATTGCTGGGTATTCTAGTAAATCACTTTTAACCTTAATAGAAGAGCAGATAATAAACCATCAAGATGACCACGAGGACTATGTCATTTATTATATAGAGGTTCTTTTGACCGATGAGGAGTTACCTTCGCTGGAGCCAGAGAGAATATTATCAATACTGTTCGGTAGACGTTTCCCATTGACAATTAATACCATTAGATACTTTCAAACTAGAACCAATTCATTGCAATCTATCAGCGATACCCACACCCTAAAGAAACTATTTACCCAGGTTACGCCATACAGTCTTGAAACAATTAATTTTTTTTCAAGTGTTTTTGGTACCGAAAAATTACAGTCATATTCAGGTTATTTCTCTTTAGCTTATATAAATCAAGTTGCTAATAGGTGCAGAGATATTAATATCACAGCTAAAGATATTCAAGAGATTAAAGACTTTCTTTGGTTCTTTTTTAGAAATGGTTTTTATATAGATTCAGAGTTTACATCTGTGGTATCTTTTTTGGGTGAACACCAGTTATTAGAATTGGTTATAGAAAGAAATTTATCATTAGGAAATGAAAATTATAAATATTTATCATCAAATTCATTAAATCTAGCATGTCTATCGGGTATTCCAATGGTTGGTGAAGCATCTTTTGATTTGGGTGTTGACTTAGTTTTGTCAAAGTATTACGGCCATTTAACAAATATTATAGAATCGATTAATCAGTTACCAGATGATTGGATCTCACCGTCCAATATATCAGTTACTTTATCAAGAGATGATAGTGATCAGGTTCAGCTTCGATATTGTGCATCCGTTTCAAATTATCCAAATGAAAGTATACAATTTTTTTTAGATGAAAAGGACCATATTCTATATCGTAGTTATTCAAACAAACAAACAAATGACGAAGATTTTTTAAAATATTTTAAAGTTATGGAGCTATTAGTACCGCATATAGTTATTGACGAAACAAATGATTCACTAGCTATGGCGGCTGCAATTGGTGGTAATCCATTCATTATAAACTATTATTTAGAACACAGCCCCAACATTGATTGGTTCGCATCCACATTATGCTACTTTAATCAACAGGACCCATTCTTACATATATTTTCAAACTATAGAATCAGTCCAGATGCATACGCTTTATGTATTAGTTATTCAGCATTCAATTGTAATATGCATATATTTAAAAGTTTAGTCGAAGAGCCATACTATAATACCTTAGATAACATACCGCATTTTCATCACTTGCTATTACTCCCAATTCTAAGAGGCTCAATAGAAATGGTTAAATTGCTTCACGAAGAATATAATCAAGAAATATTGGACTCATATATTTTAATATCAATATTAATAAACAAGCAGCATTCAGAGCTCCGGGTTAAAGATGACAGCACAACTGAAATTGAAAAGGAAATAAAATCAGCTATAGGGAAATTAGAATTTAGAAAAAGAAATAACATTACAAAATACTTAATTGAAAACAAGAAATTTAAGAAAACAAATGCTTTAGAGGTTGCATGTTACACTGGCAATGAAGATATTATCGATTTCATATTGAAAAATCAACATTATAATTTCGATAATACAACGATTAAAGATAATAACGAGGTCAGAATACTACTTTCAAATGGTTCACGAATAGAAATCATCGAAAAGATACTTGAAATAAAGTTTATTCATCATTCAAAATATCAAATATTCCAACCCGATACATTCACCATATCATTTATCAATGGACATATTAAAGCAGGCGAGCTCTTCATAAAATCCCAATACATCGATTGGAAATCAAATCAAATCGAACCCATCTATTTATCAGCAATCTTGTACCATGGCAAAGGACAGCTATTATCAGAGTTTTTATTTAATCAAACACCAGAAAGGTTTATTTCAGATAAGGATCTATTCAAATTTTATACTAGAACTTCTTTATTGGATTTTTCATTAGTACTATCTAATCTCTCACCAGATTCAATTTCAATATTTTTAGAAACTTTTTTCAAACTTGTAGAAAAGAAAAATAACAGCGAAACAAGTATTCCAATAAACTATTTCCGCAAACACTTTTTAAAATATGTAGTTAAACTATTAATAGCTTATGGTGATTTGACCACTCTCAAAAAACTAATATCTAAAGAATTTCTATCAAGTAAATATTTAAATGATGACGAATTATTCAAATGGTCAATACAATATCAAAATCTACCAATCATATCTTTATTATATAAATCCTCAAACATTAACAGTAATAGTAATAACAATAATAACAATAGTTATGGTAAAAGAAAAAGTAAAAAAAGAAATAATAATAGCGATTATATGCACGATGATGACGAAAATATTTTAGATATTTTTATAAAGGAATACCATCAAAATAATAATTTGGTTCAATTATTAAGATCATTGAAATCAAATGACCAATTAATTAAAAAACAAAAAATAAACTTATTGTTTTAATTATTTATTTAAATGGAGTTTTTATTTTTATATTATTTGTTTTGTGGCGTTTAATAGTTTTTTTATAGAAAATTACACAAAAAAATATTATAGATATTTATTATTTTATTTATACAATTATATTATTTATTTTATTTTATTTTATTCATCGCTATAACCTACGTCGCTGTCAATATCTGAATAATTCCATTCTATGTCTTCTTTTTTTAAAAAAAAAACATTTATTAATATTCCATTTATTGATTTATTATTGAAACCTTTTTGATTTGGTGGCGAATCTGAAAAATAAAAGTTTATTTCTTTGATGTTAAATTGATGGTTCGTAGAACTCTTCAGTATTTCCAACGTTTGGTTAAAGGACTTAATAGTTTCATTCATGAAAGATATGGAATATAGTTCTAAATGGTTTAGTTTTTTAAAATGATTAAAAGTGTCGTTTGATGAAATGTTGTTCTTCAGTATAACATTTCTAATTGTTTTATTTGCACCGTTTAATACTTGATTAAAAATTAATTCTTCATGTGAGGATGATAGTATTAATGTTTTGATGGTTTGGTTTGATGCAAGTGATTTAATGAGTGTTGAATCTATAAAGTTGTATCCCTCCAATGTCAAGGTTTCAATGGATATGTTTTTAGTGATGATTGAGGCCAAACCATTGCTTACCAAGCTTGTATCATAGTGTTCATCTAAACAATCATATGTATCTCCACATACATTATATAGTGATAGCTCTTTTAATGTTGAGTTGTTGGATAGTACCTTGACCATTAAATTCCAATCACTTTCAATGGTAAAATTGTTCCTAAAGCTTACTATGTCAATACATGAGCCACTGTAGCCTCCTTCTTCGTCGTCATTGTTGTGCTGCTCTATAATTCCATTCCTAGCATTATGTGACAGTCTTATAATTTGATGAAATGCTATTGGTACAGTAATTGATTTTAATTTTGATTTTAATGAAAGAGATGCCAGGTCGATAGGCTCAATTTGAACAGAGTTGTTGACTTTGAAAGACTCTAGTGAGTTAGAATCCTCAAAAAATGCAGATGTATTAACATTTTCTCTGTCTAAATATATAAAGTTTGGGAAATAGGACACTGATCTAGGATTTAATTTTAAAATGTACTTTATATATTGATCCTCTATTCCTCCTAGCTTTATCCTATTGATACAATTGACTTCTCCACTACACAGGTAATCTCTATAACTAGATCCGAAATTGAGATGGGTTTCTTTAAAGTCTTGGAGTATTATAGTTAAATTGAATACACAATTGGGTGGGAACTTATCTATCTTTCCTAAAATGATGTGAGAAACTTTATTAGTTGGTACCTTTACTAAGACTTTTTTAAATTCTTTTATAGAGTTTCTTTTTCTAAATATTTGAAATTCACTAAATGATTGGAATACCATTATTTGTGGAGATCTAATAAGTTTGAACTCTGAAGGCTCTTCTTTGTTCTCTATGAAGCTTTTTAAAACTTTAAAGTTTTTAAAGTTTAATATTTCATTTGATAGAATTTTTTGTATTGAGCTAAACCATTTCTTTGAAACCAGACTTAATTCAATAGCTTGATTGTTGTAACTGCAAGTACCACCGCCAAACTCGTATCTTTTAAAATAATAATGAGTTTTTATTTTACACTTATTATAAATAAATTCTAAAATACATTTTATAATATAACTATAAATATAGTCTGGAAAAATATTCATTAAAAATTATATTATATTTTATTTTATTACTATATTATTATTAAATGAAATAAAAAATAAAAATAAAACCGAATTTTAAAAAAAAAAAAATTAAAAATTAAATCATTTAAAAAAAAAAAAAAGGGTGAACTGTTATTAGCAGTTATTTTTGAATAAAATATTTGTTTGATTACCAGGTCATTTATTATTATTATTATTTTTTTTACAGCGAGAAAACTCAAGAGATTTAAAACAACAAAAACAAAAAAAAAAAAAAAAAAAAGGAAAAAGAAAAAATAACAGAAGATAAAAATGAAAAAAAGAAACTTATCAAGGAGTTATTATTTATTATAATATTAGAAAACTGTTCTTTTTTTCAAGGAGATATCTATTATTATAAACAGAGGATTATTTTTTTTAATATTTTTTTTTTTTTGTTAAGTTTGTTGGGAAACTTAAATATTTTTTTTTTTTTTATATTGGAAATTTACTTTGTTTTTTATTAAGTGATGATAAAAATAACTACGAGACTTAAAAAAAATGAAAAATAATAAACTTACTTGCACGAATAAATAAATACACCCACACACTCATTAGAAAATAAATAAAATCTTTAAGTCACTTATAATTCCACACACATATTCACATACAAAAAAAATCTTATCACTTGTTTTAACCCATTTTTTTTATTTATTTTTTTTATTTAATTAAATTTTACTTTAATTTTTAAAAAACAATTTTTTTTAATTTTTTTTTTAATTTTTTTTTTTATTTTTTCTTAATTATTTTTAAATTTCTTTTTTAAATAATTAAAATTTTAAAAAAACTCACACACAATAATTTTATTTAATACAATTTATAAATATAAATATAAATATATATAAATATATATATTTTTATACACACAAAAAACACAATTGTCTTAAATTTTATTTTTATTAGTATTAATTATTATTTTGTTTTTTTTTTATTCACTACCATTATTCATTTTTAACAAAGAACAAAAACCATAATAAATTTTATTTTTTTTTAAATTTTTATATTTTTAAATTAAATATTTTTTTAATTTTTTTTTTTATTTATATTTTATTTTTTTTTATTTTTTATTTTTTATTTTTTAAATATTTGGGTATACCATAGAATTTTGCTACTTTGTAATATAATATATTTTACACAATAAATAAATTTATTATATTTTTTTTTTATTTATAAACCCATTGTATAAAATATGACACTTTTAAATAAATCATTCAAACAAGAATATTCTTTAGGTAGATATTTATTTATTTATATACAAATTTGTTAACAAGATTTCTAATGGTTTACCAAAATACTAATACTAATATTTTTTTATAGAAAAAAGAAAAACTATTTCAGAAAAAATTAAAAATAGATATAAGGATAGATTACCAGTAAGTTATTTTAATAAAAGAGAAAAAAGCAGTTTGGGTTTGGTATTTAGCAACAACCAGACAGATATTTTTTACAATGGATACCACCACTCTAAACTGCTATAGAAACATACTATAAATAATATTATTGCTTGTTGTACTAATAGTTATTTTATAATTTAGATTATTGTTGAAAGAGCACCAAATAGTAATGTCCCAGATATAACAAAAAAGAAATTTTTAGCCCCATCCAATATGGTTGTCAGTAATTTTATTATGGAAATTAGAAAGCATCTAGATGGCTCCAAACAAAACTCGACC